TTGCATGCCCCTTACTGGGGACCTGGCCCACAACCCAGGCAGGTGATCTGACTGGGAATTGAACTGGTAACGTTTTGCTTTGCAGGATGACACCTAATGCACTGAGCCACACCAGTCAGGTTCTCTTTTTTACATCTACTCTAGGGTCCATTCCTACTCACAGATTATCTCTCAGAAAATTTATTTTAGCCCAGAGATTGGAAAAAAATGCATTACCTGCCCCTTCAAAGGTGGGGGATGTCTTAGGAGAACCAATCCCCTCCTCAAGTCAAGGATATGGACATTGCTCTCATGAGGATGGTGATGACCATCATGAAAAGTTACCATGAGTTTCTTAGATGCCACACCCTGGAAGCAGCACCTTTAATGTATTATGATATGTGTCCCCCACCAAACCTCTGCATGAGGTAGGCATTATCCATCTGAAGTGTGTAGGTGCCCATGGCACAGTGACAGTGCATATGAAGGAGAGTGGCTTCCTTCCAACCTAACGCCAATTCAGTGCAAGCCCTCTAAGCATTAGACCCCTTCTGACCCACACAGTGAGGCTTTCAGTTGTCTCCCGTCATCTGGTTCCCTGCCATAAGTCCTGATTGTTCACCACCACCCACCTGGGCTCTGTTCTCATGGGCTTCCAATCTCCCACCTTCTGACCTTGTGATTTTCTCTCACTTTCTGTCTCATCTCTCACGGTCTCTTCAACTCAACATTCTGGACTTTGTGAACTGGACCTCTCTTGCCTCCTGGACCACACTTCCTTCTGGATGGGCGATGTCAGAGATTCTAGGTGACTATCTCACTCTATTTACAACCTGGGATTTTTTTTTTTTGTGGAAATCTTGTCTGGCAAAAATACTCTTTAAGCTTTAGTATGTGCCAGGACTATGGAGGGTGGTGGGAACCTGAAAGATAAATCTGATGTTCTCATACCTTTACATAAACTCATAGGCTGGTGAGGGAGACAGACAGATAGTTATAATTAATATGAATGGATGCCTTCAGGGAGGGGCAATTAGAAAAGGTGAATGGTAGCTGGGGATGTGCTTATTGAATCTGTCGGTCTGGGGGCATTTATCATTGTTTGTATGTGGTCCTCCATAGGTTTGCTGAGCCTGCAAGTGTTAAGTGGTAAGTGGTGACTATGTTATTTGGCCTCACTATTTGTTCTTGGTTCTGTACACTGAAATAAAATGTTACTGTTTTTTTTTAATATTGGAAGAGCCTTTAGATATCATCAAACATTATACTCTCTGTTACTTTCATTATCATTAACATCATAAATATTTAACATTTTTCATTCATCTAACAACAAACACTAGTAAATATTAGCTAACTCATCTAAGTCCCATTGTAGGCATTGGAGATATAGAAGAAAATAGAACAGACAAAAATCTGTGCCCAAGTAAAACTAATGAGAGGAGGAAAAAAAAAGAAAAGAATGTAGGTTAAATCTGTTGGATGCTGAAAAGTCCTGCAAAGATAATAGGGTAAGGGAGAGGGAACTACATTATTGGAGAGGTTGAAATGTTTTTAAAGGGTGATCAGGGAAAGTGACATTTCCACAAAGACTTGAAGGAGGTGAGGGAGCCCATCATGCATACAACTGGGCTAAGGGTGTTCCAGGCAGGGGGAACAGCATGTGCAAAGGCCATGAGGAGAGTGCTAGGATCCAGGACAGCAAAGATGCTCAATGTGTTCCCTTCTCATGTGTGGCACTTAGAAGCACTGTTTATAGTTGGGTCTCCATCCATTTCATAATGAATCATTGATGGTTTCTTTTCTTCTTTTTTCTCCTCCTCCTTTCCTTTCCCTTCCCTTCCCTTCTCCTCCCTTCCTCTATCCTTTTTTCTCTTTCCTCTTCTTTGTCTTCTTATTCTTGTTCTTCTTGCCCTTCTTCTTGTTCTTCCTGCCTTCCTCCACCTCCTGCACTTCCTCTTCCTCCTTTTCCTATTCTTATTTTTGTTCTCCCTGCCCTTCTTATTCCTCTTCTCCTTACCATCATCATCATCATCATTTTTCCTGCCCTTCTCCCACTCCTCCTCCTCCTTTTTCCTCCTCCTCCATTGTTAGAAGAAACGAATGACTGCAATGAAGAAGGTGAGTGCACGGAATCTGGAGGATAGTGAGTTCCTCCAGTCTGGGTTACAACAAAGCCTTGAGAGGAGCTCAGGTAGACAAGGTCAGGGCTTCAGTGCCTGAGAAATCCTTTCAAAGGGCATCCAAAGCCTTCAGACCTCTCAAGACCTGCCTCCTTTGTATTGCTCACTAGTATCAAGGTGACCCAACATACTAAGGTATAATTGGAAGACATTTTTGTTTTTCCAAGTTGCTTCTGCTGAGTATTAACCCTGGTCCCCTCCCTAGAAATTACCAGAAAGGTCCTGGGTATCAGGACTGTATGGCTGAAAAGCAAGAGAAAGGAGAGCAGAGAATCCAAGCAAGCTTCTAGGTGACCAGATATTAGAGATAAAGCACTTTTAAACAGCTGGGATTATTCAGTTCACAAAAATAGATGAATAGTTTCACCAGAGATTTATACTTTGTTTAAAGAGGTGTTCAGATGGAAATTCTAGAATTGAAAACATTTGGCTGAGAGGAAGAATTCAGTCATTAGACTTAACATCACAGAGGGTGATTACTGAGCTAGAAAGCAGGAGAGACCATTCAAATAAAGTACAATAGATGAAAGCATAGAGAATACAGAAAGGAGCACAAAAGATACATGATGCCCAGTAAACAGTTGTAATGAATATAAAGTTAAAATTTCAGAAGAAGAAGCAAGAGAAAATAAAGCTGAATTAATTTCTGAAGAGTTAATGACTAAAAATAAAAGCTTTACTTACAGGGAAATTTATAATCTTAAATACATAAATTAAAGAGAGGAGGGAAGATAAATAGTAAGTTAGAAAAATATTTGCATACATTTCAGAGAGACAGAGAAAGGACTTACAACTACACATTTTCCAAAGTAAATCCCCTAAGAAAAGGGAGGCAGGTACCTCTCCCTTAATTTTCAACAGGGAGCATTAAATGTTTTTTCTTTTTCAATTTGTATTTACCTTTATATTGGTAGTGTTCTTTTTGGGGGGAGGGTCCTATTTATACAGGTGTGTTTTGTCCAAAACTCAGAAGTAGCAAAGTTAAAACCATAAGATCAGTTAAATAGTATTTTTTAAAGATTGTATTTATTTGTTTTTAGACAGAGAGGAAGCGAGGTAGAGAAACGTCAATGTGTAGTTGCCTCTCACACACACCCCCAACCGAGGACCTGGCCTGCAACCCAGGCATGCGCCCTGACTGGGAATCGAACTGGCTCTACCCTTTGGCTCTCAGGCCAGCAGTCAATCCACTGAGCCACACCAGCCAATGCTAAATAGTATTATATAAGAGTTTATTCTTCATGTGAGAGCAGTTCTCGAATGGGGAGCTTCCAAGTACAAAACTGATGTGAAGCTCACAGGCAAGACGTTATAGCATAGATAATGAAGGGCTTCCCCCTGACAATGATGGTTATTACAACGGGGTTTCCAGGTGGCAGTAGGATCATCACGTGATTATCTTGTACCGTTTGGGGGAAGATGACAAATTTCTTTAATAATTATCAGAGACAATTGTTTATTTAGTAAATTTTTATTTCTTTTCAGAGAGAGGGGAAGGGAGGGAGAAAGAGAGAGAGAGAAATATCAATATGCGACAGAAACATAGACGGGTTGCTTCTTGAGTACTGGCCCACAGCCCGGGCATGTGCCTGGACAGGGAATCAAACCAGTAACCCTTTGGTTCACAGGCTGGAGCTCAATCCACTGAGCCGCATCAGCCAGGACTGACTATCAGAGACATTAAAAAAAAAAACTTAACCCTGGCTGGTGTAGCTCAGTGGATTGAGCATGGGCCTGTGAACCAGACAATCACGGTTCAATTCCCAGTCAGGGCACATACCAGGGTTACAGGCCAGTTCCCTGCAGGCGAGTTCCCAGCAGGGGATGCATGAAAGGCAACCATACATTGATGTTTCTCTCCCTCTCTCCTTTCCTTCCCCTCTAAAGATAAATTTAAAAAAAACTTAAATTCTGCTTATGTTTGTGAAATAAACTAGGTTTAGTTCAGCTTGGAAGACTTAAAATGGTTTTGTCTGCTCAGAGAATTTTCAAGTTCGGTCCTCATTTTATATTTAATTTTAACAGTTTATTTGTAAAATTTGAGGCTTTCGTATGTAAAACTTTCATTAACTTTTTAAAATCCTCACCTGAGGATATAGTTATTGATTTTAGAGAGAGAGGAAGAGGAAGGAGAGAGAGAGATTAATGTGAGAGAGAAATGTTCATTGGTTGCTTCCTGTAGGTGCCCCCTGACTGGGGATCAATCCCACAACATTTTGGTGGGCAGGAAGATGCTCCAAGCAACTGAGCCCCTCTGCCAGGGCAACTTTCATTAAAATGTAAAATGAGAAAGGAAATACAGCATAGCACAGTAATAAGGATGAATGGTGTTAGGTGGGTACTAGATTTATTCAGGACATCACTTGGTAAGTTGTATAAATATCTAATCACTATGCTGTACACCAAAAATGAACATAAGTTACAATTACATCAAGTATCATGAAAAAACTTTTTTGAAGTTTTAAAAATTAAAAAATATGGAAAGAATGTTGGGTAGGTAAAAACAACATGTGTGCACCACACTAGGTATAAAATGAGGAGGTTAGAAAGATCCTAGCAGCCTTGTGGGCAGTGGTTTGAGGGACAGGAAGTGTGGAGTTGAGGCTGGAACGGTGGTAGTCCATGGGACACTTGGTCACAGCATACCTGCTGAGGCTGGTGCCTTGGAGATGGAGGAGAGAAACCGGCAGCATGTCAATCCAGGGGGCTGGTGAACAGGTGGGTGCGGGGCTGGAAGGGATATTTATAAAGAGAAAGCATTTCTAGACAGGGAGGGCATGCCTTCAGGGGAGGTCATTGCCATCCACTTCTCCCAGCTAAGCTACCCCCAACGACCACCCCCACCAAGAAACCAGCCAGGAAAAGGAACAAATGGAACATATTGAAATGCGCATACATGATGGTCACCTTCTTGTTTGTGTCTTACAATAAAGGAGACTGGGTAAGGAGAAAACTGGTACCTAAAGGGGGGGAGAGGGGGGAAAAGAAGGAGGGAATGAGGGGAGAGAGAAGGAAGGGGAGCAGAAAGGAGGGAGGGAGTGAGGCAAAGGAGCACCAAGCAAACAAGTATAGAAGTATAGGAGAGGAAGCTCCTGCTCTGTAAATCAGATCCTTCCTTTCTTTCTTCCTCCCTCCCTCTTTTCCTCCCTCTCTCCCTTTCTCCATCCCTCCCTGTGTCTTCGGACTTGCATGACAGCCACTCCCTTTTGTACTAACACAGCCCCAGATAACCTTCTGAAACACTACCACTCATTTATCCTCTCCTTATCCCTCTCCCTCTTCCTCTTCTCCCCCTCTCTCTCACCTTCCCTTCACATAAGGGAAGCTCTTCAAGACCAAGCATTTACCATTTTGCTGGAGATACCGGAAGGTGAGGCAGAATGTGGGAGCTTATGAGAAGTGAGGCTGAATAGATCAGCAAGACCACAGGATGCTACAACAAGAGGAAAGAAGGAAAGAGGGGTGGGTGGGCAGGAAAGAAGGGAGGAAGGAGTGGGGGGGGGTGGAGGAAGGCGACAAGGTGATTTGCCTCAACCCTGTTTCTCTGTTTCTGGCTCACTCCTTCTTCAACCTCCCAGTGTTACTGCCACTATTGTAGCACAGACATGGACATCAGGTATGTTGTGGCAAGAAAGGGCATTTTTTCCCACTCCTGGGCTGGGAGGGCTTGGGCCCAACTGCCTGATGTTAGAGTAGGGAACCCCTGGTGGGTTTGGACACTCCAATCATACAGTCATAGAATTGTATAAAAAGATGCAGGTTCATCTTTGTTAATCTCAAGCCACCACATGATAAAAGGACAGGGATTTGGAGACCTGCAGGAATTAATTGATCAATTCTCTTAATATGTTTTATGTTTCTTTTGTTTGTGGAAAAATACACATAACATGAAAAAACTTTTTAAGATTTTATTTATTTTCAGACAGAGGGGAAGGGAGGGAAAAAGAGAAGGAGAGAAATACTAATGTGTGGTTGCCTCTCACACACCCCTCACTGGGGACCTGGCCCGCAACACAGGCACATATCCTGATTGGGAATCAAACCCAGGACCCTTTGGTTCACAGGCAAGTGCTCAGTCCACTGAGCCATGCCAGCCAGGGCACATAACATGAAATTTACCATTAGTAACCTGTGGTGCATTCACAATGTTGTGCAAACATCACCACTATCCAGCTCCAGGGAATTTTTGTCAACCCAAGGGGAACTCCTTCCCCACAGGCAGTCCCTCCACCTAGCCCCTGACAACCACTAGTCTACTCTGTCTCTCGCTACGGACTTAACCTACTCTGGACATTTCATATTAATAGAATCATACACCGTATGGCCTTTTGTGCCTGACTTTATTAACTTAGCATACTGTTTTCAAGGTTCATCCAGGTCGTAGCATGGATCAATACTTGCTTCTTTTACATGGCTGAATGACCCATGGAATGTGTATCCCATTACCTGGATATGCCACATTTTGTTTATCCATTCATCAGCTGAAGGACATTCCAGCTGTTTCCACCCTTTGACTGTTGTGAATAGTGCTGCCATGAACATCTGTGTATGAATTTTTGTTCGAACACCTGTTTCCAGTTCTTTTGGGGTCATACCTAGAAGTGGAATTGCTGAGTCACTTGATGATTCTATGTTTAAGTTATTGAGGACCTCAATACATTTTTTATTTAGCAATTACTCTATAACACATCCTGGGTTAGTTAAAATGATCAATGTTATGTGGATTTTAGCACAACTTGAAAACACATTGTAAAAGATGTGGAGGCTAGAGTCACCCTCAGGCTGTGGTTTGTGGGCCCCTACATTAATTAGACTGTGAGCTGCTCTGGGGGCAAGAAGTCCATTTGATCCATCCCTGGGACTGCAGTACCCAGAGTAAACTTTATATATTCACTCCCTGCCCCAAGCCTGTGTGCTCCAGTGTGCCATGCTGGGAATACAGTGGGGCCATAGCAGAAGAGGTCCTTGAGCACATGGAGGTCACCCTCTAGTGGGAGGGCAGGGGGCAAAGCACCATATTTTGCCATGTATAATGCACACCTTTTTGCCCAAAGCTTTGAGAGAAAAATAAGGATGCCCATTACACATGAGTATCATGATTACATACCATGAGTATAACGATCCTGTGCAAACGTGCACAAAAATTATACACGGCAAAATATGGTAAATAGCAGTGTTTCCTTGGAAGGCCAGGCAGGATGCTGGGACATGGAGGACGCCTCCTGTACAAATGGGGAGGGCGCCTTCTTTCCATTGGTGGGTCGAAAGACCCCCTCTCTGAGGAGATATTTGTACTTGAGTAATGGGGAGGGGCAGCCCAACTGAAATCTATGGATGTGTGTCCCAGGTGATGGGACAACCTAGGGGTTAGAAGGACAGAGTGAGGACAGTAGTCTAAGATGCAAACTGATGCACTAATACATTTATTTCTCTTTTTCTTCTCTTCCTTAGAAATGACCCCTGCTGTTCTTACTAGCCACCCTGCTCCATCTCAGCTAAACCTTCGGGGGTCCTTCATCTCCCAGGTAGTCTCACCTCCCGAGAAACCTCTCTGTGCCCTGGACTGTAGATGTGGAGGGTCATGAATTGGGTCTTTTGAGGAATGACCTGCCTGCCCAGAGGCACAGCGGGAAGGTGTCTGTGAGGGCCACAAGGAGATGGGCCCAGAGAGTAGCCAAGTGGGAAATTAGCAGGGGTTGCCCCCACAACTTTTCTTCTAGATCTTTTTCAACCCTCCTTCACTGTTTCTATAATAAACTGTACACTTGTTGAAATGGCTGAATGTTTGGTTATTCCATTCACCCAACACAGAGAATTAGTAACATGTGGGGAGTCAGGAGACGTCAAGAATCATATAAATCACTTAATTCTGGCAACAACCCCAGAGGGAGGTTCTGCTATGCTGCCTGCTTTGTAGAGGAGGAAGCTGGCTCAGAGGTATCGGTAATTTGTCCAAAGTCACACAAGTGACAGAGCTGGTTTTTGACCCAGGTTTTACTCATTCCAAAAGCTCTATTTTTATTGTTGTTGTTATTGTTATCATTGTTGTTATTGTTTTGTGTGTGTGTGTGTGTGTGTGTGTAAAGTTTTAGGATTTCCCACTGAGGAAATAAAGATCTGAAGATACAGTTGCTCCAAGTGTCTCAGCTCTCCAGCCGGCATGTGTCTTGCTGGTACTTGACAAGGTCCTGGGGTTCTGGTTGAAGACAGTTTTCTTGAGTCTAAAGTGCAGATTCACTCTTTGCTGAATGTGCAAACTTGGGAAAGTTATTGTCTCTCAATGTATATTTTCCTCCATAAAATGGGGACATTAATGGAGTAAAGTCCCTCTTATTATCATGACTAGCGACAGCTGTTAATTGATTCATCAAAAGTTGGTTAAAATGGCAATTAAAAATATGTTTTAAGCCCTGGCTGGTATGGCTCAGTGGACTGAGTGCCAGCCTGAGAACCAAAGTGTCGCTGGTTTGATTCCCAGTCAAGGCACATGCTTGGGTTGCAGGCCAGTTCCCCCCCAGTGGGGAGAGTGCAAGAGGCAACCACACATAGATGCTTCCTTCCCTCTCTTTCTCCCTTCCTTCCCCTCTCTTTAAAAACAAATAAATAAAATCTTAAAAAAAAATACTATTTATTGATCTTGTAGAGAGAGAGGAAGGGAGAGAGAGGAAGAGAGAAACACCACTTTGTTGTCCCACTTATTCATGCATTCGTTGATTAATTCTTGTATGTGCCTTGACCCGGGACTGAACCCACAACCTTGGCACATAGGGATGGTGCTCTAACCAACTGAGCTATCCAGCCAGGACCTAAAAATACTTTAAAACATGTAAACATAAATTCACTTGCCAATGTTTTGGGTTAGGACCAAGGTTTTGTCCTGTAGTATCCCAAGTATGTCCCAAGTATGTTTGTGTTTGTTCTTGGCAAATGTGACTTTGCTGAAGGATGAGTGGTAAAGCAATAGATAAGGAAATAAAGAACTTACTCCTCACAGTAAATTACTCCTGAGAGGGTAATTTCATATGCTTTAGCTCGAATGGGTACTTGGGCTTCTAAAAATGCCTCTAAAATGAAGGACTTCCCAAGTCAACTAAACTTAATTAAAGGGTGTGTGTGTGGGGGGGGGTGGCTGTGTTTACACAACTGTGTCTTGTTGGGCTGAGCTTACAGGAAGCATTTGTCTTTTCTCACAGCATTCTGTGTACAAATAGGGTTGCCCCTTAAGAAAAATAAAAAGAAATTGCTCGAAGGCAAAAGGCCACCCAGTAAGCTGATGACAGATGGAAGGGCGTGCCAACTCTTCGCAGATAAGTTAGGCAACAAAGATGATGTGATATCCTTTATCCCAGTGAAACCCAATAGTAACTAATTTTCCAACTAGTTTTAATTAAGTCGTTCATTAAAAGGAACAGGTTTTCTATGCTTAAGGGAAGCAGCACTGGTGGTTGATGTTACGTTTTGGTAACTTCCAATATATGCCATTAACGGCCTCTGTGTGTTGTCACCCTTTTCCATTTGATGGTGGTGGTGAAGTGGGGCTGTCTTAAATTTTATGTAAAACCGAGTTTGTAGTCCTGGCTGGTGTGATTCAGTTGTTTGAAGTGTTGTCCCTCGATGGGGACATTTGGCAGAGTCAGGAGACATTTTTGGTTGTCACGACTGGCAGGCAGAGAGGGGTGTTGCTCCTGACATCTAGCGGGGGAACAACAGGGGTGCTGCTTAACACCCTTCATTACACAGGACAGCGCCCCACAGCGAAAGTGACCAGACCCAAGTGACAATAATGCTGAGATTGAGAAACACATGTTCTCTTCCTGCATCTCCTTGCTCAAAGTATAAGGTCCTAGGCTGTTTGCCTGTTTGTCGCTGCTGTCTCCCTGGCTGCTGGCACTTTTGGAGCATCTAATAATGACCTGGTGACTGAATAAATGCACAGCACAAACCTGTCATCAGGCCCAGAGCAGGCGGGGGGAAATCCTGAAGGTGAGTCATGACCTACTTTCCCTAGAGACAGGTGTTAACCTAAAAATGAAAAGGCCTTTCACCATGAAAGGCTACACCTTTTATCTGAGATCAAATATTTGGGATGCTGTGATTCAGGCAGAGCCCAGATAGTGCTCCAGATTAAGAGACCAAAGGCAATGGGTATTTATGAGAAAGGGAAGGGAACAATTTATCCATAAAAGGAAGGCATTGTTATTGGTGTAAATAACATAATATAGCGATGTTAATTCTTTTTTTACAAGATATTTATTTTTAAAGAGGGGGAAGGGGGAGAAAGAGGGGGAGTGAAACATCAATGTGTGGTTGCCTCTAGTGCACCCCCTACTGGGGACATGGCAAAACAGTGAAGGAGCAATAAGTGACCCCCGATTAAGCGAGGGACTACTGTACCTTCTGGCCCCACCCCTAGCTCTTCCCACAACTGACTCCTCGGCCTCATTCTTCAGGCGCATGCGCTAACTGCCCCCAAGAGGCCCCAGTTTGTGATGTCACCACGCAAGGGGCGCAGGTCAAGGGAAAGTTGTTACCGTGGTGACCATTCCCTGAGAACCGTCAAGTACCCGTCTAGCTCCTCGCCCCCAACTGACCCTAAGGTTCGCAAACAGGTCGACCATCGTGGCAGGAGTTGGAAAAGTGGAAATGAAGAGGGAACGCCAGGGTCAAGGGACATTTCTCACTCCTATCAGCAGATCTGTCACTGGACGGCCACTTCTGGACGAGGTGAGCGGCCAGCTCCCAGCCCTCCCTCCGCACGCTGAACTACAACTCCCAGAAGCCTCTGCGAAAACTCTTTCCTTTTTGCTTCCCCAGCAAATAACAGATGGCGACAGCTTTTAGAAGCTCTTTCTAAGCACTAAGTCATCTCTGGATGTAAGCGTTTTGGTCACAATCTGTTTTTTATGGACAAGTGCGCCTCCCATTTCTCTGCCCCTTTGAGACTACGACACCCACAAGTCCGTGGGCCACTCTTGCCCACGCCTTCAGCCGGAGGGTTGCCGTGGAGACAGAGAGACGCTGGAGCCAGACGAATGAGGTGGAGCCAGTTTGGAAAAAGGATTCCGATTGGCGAAGAGGCAAAACCGGCTTGAAAGAACTAGTGAGGGGTGCGCATGCACAGTGCGTTAGCCCCGCGCGCATTCCTAGTCCGTTGAGTCCAGCGGCGTCCACCAGCTTCAGTCACCTGGACTGTGTCTCAGGTAGCGGGGACGGGAGGCGGAGTCTGCGCACACGAGGGGGTCGGGGCCTAGTTCCTGAGGCCAGAAGTGATGGCTCCGACGAAGCGCCCGGGAAGTGAGTGCAACCTGTGGTTCCCCCGTTCTGGTTTCCGAATGGAATTCCTAGTCTTTTTGGTAGCAGCCCCCTTCTCGTTTGCCTGAGACGTCACAGCTCCCGCTGGGGAGAGTACCTCCTCATTCATTCGAGCACTCTCTGTGGCTGTCCTCGGGCAGGGGGGTTGTTGGACAGGGGGACAAATGAATGGACAACCATGAGAGTATGAGAGGTGCTATGATGAGAACAAGCACAGAACCCCAGGGGACCACAATCAAATTAGCGCTTATTTCACTCAAGCTGGGGACGGGAGACCGGGCAGGGGTCACCCCAGAAACAGTTTCTGAGGAAAGTACTGTGAAATCTAAAAAGAGAGAGTGGGTGAAGGTGGCCGAAGGACTACATGACTTCTGTGCCATTTCTCAGAACATCAGATGCAAGGGGGGCTGAGAAGTGCAGCCAGGACTCAGCGGCCAAGGAGCAGCTCAAAGTCAGGGTCCCCTTGCTGTGCTGCGGAAGAGCCTGGCTGTAGGGAGTGACTGGCACAACCGGGCTAATGTAGCTAATAATAATAACCAAGCAACAGTGATCATAAACACACCTAAATGCCATTTGCTGGGCACAACTCAGCCGAAATTCTGCCTACTACTTAACCCATAGTTACCTCACTGAAACATGCTGGCCTACCGGAGTTGCAGTGCCCTGTCTTGTAGATGGGGACACTGAGTTATAGTGTTGCTCTCTGAACCTTGCCACGTGGAAGCACAACTGCCTACGTGCACTTGTAAGAACTTGAGAATGTAACCTGCAATGATCCCAGCACACAGTAGGACCAAAGTAGATGACCTGCTTTTCTGAGAGCAGCCAGACGGTGGCAGGTGCTCGCGGCCCCCCCCTAACGTGGCTATGGTGCCACCTCGTGGCTGTGTTTTGCAATTGCGCCTCCGATCACAGAAGGGTGTTGCTTCCTAGGGGAGTTTTCCAACTCACGTTCGCTGGGGCTCGACAGGTGACTGTGAGGAGGCCGCCTGGCTGTGACACCAGAGAGCAATGATTGTGACAGACTGCGAAGGTGCTGGTTTGTGTCAGAATTCATAGAGACGAAGATCAAAACTGCCTCCACACAGGCCCACAACAAACAGCCTCCCTCTGGCTCTGCTGCAGCTTGAGGGTCCATTAGTGGTCAGGCCGCGGAGCACTCCATCCCCTACAGCAGATGGGCCTTCTGCTCTAGGCTGCCGAATACACCACTGCTTACTGGTGCCCCTCTTGTATCCGTGCCTAGCTGGCCACATGCCTGAGGGCTGGTGGTCTGAAGCGACCTCAAGGTGCTTTCCTTGCCTGAAGACTCACCTGGGATTGGTCTCACAGCAGTGACCAGATTCCCTGCACCCCATAATTGCTGCTGTTGTAGCGTGTACCACAACCTACGCTGTACACCCCATATCCAGGGATGTCACCTAGAAGCTGGCATTTCACCTGTTCCTCCTCCAGCCTTTGGTGGGGCCAAATGGTTTTCTGTCCGATGGTGTTTCCCAAATGGGCTCCAAGCAGGGAGGGCTGGCTGGCCTTCCTTTGGGGACCCGTGCCCATCAAAACTGCTGATCCAGATGCTTGGCCATGTGGGTGACCTCTTGGACTCCACACAAGTGACCTGGGCTCCACAAAGGGGACAGGGGATAGGATCTCAGCTTAGTCTCCGTCTTTAACAGGAACAAGGAGCATCTTTGGCTTTATATCCTACATCATAGAGCCACGAAAACTATATAATCTTATTAACCAGTGTCATCCCAATGCATTTAATAAAAAATAAAAACATCCAGTCCTAAAACAAAGCCAGTGATTTTGAATTCTTGGTCAGGCAACTCTCACCTCTCCCTTTCTCTGGAGACAGTTCCCAGGCTTTATATTTGGGGGCCTCGTGTCTACCTGATCCTTCCTGACCTATTCAGCCTGGTGCTGAAATGCACCAATGTTTGGGACCAGGGAAATAGGTCCCTTTTCTTCCTCTCTCCTGAATTAACTACCTCAGGATGGTCTGAGGGTCCTAGAGACAGAGTTTGAAATGGGCATTTTGTATAAATGATTTAACAAATGAGTGTGCCCTACAGAACAGGAGACATGGCAGCTGTCAGGGAAGGAAGAGAGAACCCAACACAGATGTGGCCGGGATGGGAGGCCCGTTTCATCCTGGTGCCCAGCAGGCTGGAAAGCACATCACACTACATCTGGTCCCTTCAGAGGTCACGGTGCCAGGCTTAGCTCTTGCATGTGAGTGGTCCATTTAGAGCTGGTGGCTGAGCAGTAACCTGATTTCTCAGAAAACTTCTCTCTGGTTTTGCTGAGCAATTTTGCTGAAATGAGCGCACCTGCTGTTTATCATGTGCCTTACCCATGTCAGCTGGTAAATAGGCACCAAAAGCCTCCAGCCCAGAATATGCACAGTCAATTCTAAGTTCTCATTCAAGATGAGATGCCACACATATGAAGAATATATGTGATTGGGGTGGGCACCAAAGGAGTAGTATGTGTGTGTGATGTGTCTCAGGGCATACTTTCATATGTCACAAAAATGACAATGTAGTAACATTTATTCATTAACATCCAATGAATGGGGGTTAGGAAGGGCATTAGCTGTTTGTTTGCTTTTATTATTATTATTCTCTGTGTTGGAAATACTATATAACTTTTTGAAGCCGACATGGCTTAAAGTTACAAAGGAACCTGGTTGTTGTTAAGTGTATAAAGAAGTGTAACGTGCAATACAAAGTTGGCTTTGTATGAGCAGCCTGGTACCCAAGAACAACAGGAAATTCAGCATTTACACCAGACGCAAGCACACCAGGTCTTCAGTCCCATGGGAAGAGGCCCTGAGGAAGCCCCGCCATCTTCTCTCGGTAAACTTTATCAAAGGCTTCACTCTGGGCCACTGTAAAGTGATTTTTCCAGTCCCCAGTGATTCCTGTCAAACACAAAACATCAGTCTCGATTAGATTTACGGACAAGGTCTCAAGACTTTATTTGTACTTCTCTGTCATATACAGTCAATGAAAAACTCAGTGTAGCCGAGTGGTTAAATTTTTATGGCCTGGATTGACATTGCATTGGTTGCAATCCCAGACTATTGGAGACCGCTTTGCCTGGTTTCAGGAATTGTAACTACCCCCCATGGCTAAGGATGAGTGAGTGACCTCTGGAATGCGAGCCACAGGGGGGCTGCAACAAAGGGCAATGGACTCTCGCCCCCCCCCCGGGCTTTGACAAAGCCTGAGTCCCCAGGTCCTCTGGGTGAAGCACTTCTTGGTTCTAATCCACTTAAGCCTGAAAACTTGATGGGGAGGGGTACAGCTCCTTGCCTTGCTAGAGAGGATCTGGGGAGAAATTTGGCGGAAGAAAGAATTCCTAAAAAAACCTGTGAAATCTGCTTTGCTAAGAGTGTTTTCATTCATATGTTCAGGGTCCGAGCAGGAAACCCCAAAGTTTCTGCAAAACCCCTTTCTTGACAGACTCTGACTCAGACTAAGCCCTCAGATTTCTTCGAAATGTTATCTACTGTTTGATCCTTGCCACCTTGTATTCCTGTGTATTACAACCCAGTAAAAGCCCCTGGAGGAAGGGGCTCAAGGCCTCTTTTTCCTCAGAAACTGGCCACCTCTCCTCCCCAAGCAGATCATGTCTTGGTAGTGTTTCCTTTCATCCATGGCGGGCGGGGGGGACTTGAGGGCAAAGTTGCCCTCACACTAGACTACTAGTTGCATAATACAGTTGAGTTTACAGCATAATGGAGTTGAGTTTACATTGTGCCTTCTGTTTACTAAACACTGTTTCCAGTAGCAGCCTCACAGGGACAGTGGGAGGGGAAAGAGCAAAGTCACAACAGCAAGAATACCTAATATGCAGTAAGTAATTATTCTCTGCCTGGCACTGTGTTAGGATATTACTTGTCTACCTCTTTAACATGGAAGACATTTCTTATTTATTTATTTTCTTTTTTTTTTAACCCTCCTGCTAATCAGGATTGCTCATCTCTTCCTTCTGTACATGCTTCCCTGAGCTTATTTTATTTAATTTTTCTTTTAGAATATTTAATCATTTATTTTCAGAGAGAGGAGAAGGGAAGGAGAAAGAGAGGAAGAGAGACATCAGTGTGTGGTTGCCTCTCACACACCCCGCACTGGGGACGTGGCCCTCAACCCAGACATGTGCCCTGACAGGGAACTGAACCTGCAACCTTTCAGTTCACAGGCTGGTGCTCAATCCACTGAACCACACCAGCCGGGGTGCAAGACATTTCTTTAGGACACTAATAGTCTTGCCCAGGGTCCTATAGGTGGGACTGGAGTTCTCACTATTGTTAGTGACTCCACATTTGTCCTCTTTCCTTGAACTCTGTACCTGTGATTGTCACAGCATCCAATTGCACTACCCAGAGCTTGCAATACAGTTTTCTTTACCTAGAATGCTGTTCCCTTGGGTGGCCCAGCCCATAGTCTGTGTCATTTCTCTTTAAGTTCACCCCAACCACTCTGGATTTTAAATCAGGTTGACAATGGAATCTTCCCAGTCTTTGCATTCAGCACTCTCATTTCCTCTGTCTAGTGAACATGTTCATAGGCATCACAGCTGAACGTTTGATTTGAAGCTAAATCTCATGTCTTTCCTCTCATTTTTATGTCCACAATGATCCCATTTTAAGGCTTCTTTCGATAAAATAGATATTCCCATGGTCCATATATGTGAGGAGATCGTCACTGTACAGGCCTAGGGACCACACTAGCACTGTGAGTGTGAGTGGAAATTCTGTATAGAAAACATGAGTGTGCTCTATGTGATGGGCAACATCTAGGAAACAGGTGAGACAGGTGGCACCCCAAAAGATGTGGGGTTCAACAGCAGTGCTCCTTGTTTTAAGTTTTCTTTACAACCCAATGAATACAAAAAACCTTAGACTCTTAAAGTCAGGTCCCAATGATGTGATTTGCATTCATTCACATAGTTCCATCATCCCATGTCTTAGTGCATCAATATAAGGTGGGGAGTTCACTGTCCACCTCATTCATGTCATGAAATTAGAAACTCTCATACCTTTTCTCATAAAGTTTCCTTTGCTGTGATCCACAATGGTATCAGGTACTAGAGAGAAGTTGCTCATTTTATTGTCTTTCATGGCCTGGAAGGACACATTCTTGAGGACTGAATTCAGTTCTTCTGGGCTTAGCTTCACGCCCAAGAATTGGCTGACCCTCTCTACACTGGTTCTTGTGTCCTAGAAGGAGAAGCACAAAAGAGGAAACACGAGAGTAAAGTGAAATAGGGAATAAGAACAAAGAGGCAGCAGAGAATGAAGGAGAGGGGAGAGAGAAAATGAGGCAAAGCAGAGCATTAAGCCATCATGTTCATCTGGAGGATGTACAGTATGATCAGATGAGGGCTCATAAGCAAGTGCTCTTTAGAGAAAAAAGAGAGTGCATTTCAAGTCAGCCACTTTCCTTTGATGCCAGCCATCATTTGCTATGAGTATTGACAAAATCAACTCCTACAGGAACTCCCTTCCTGTCAGTAAACCTGGGAACATGTCAGTACTTCCTGCACCTGTCCGACCGTCAAGTTCCGCCTTTCACTGTATTCCCACTTGACACCACTTACGGCTGCCCAGATTCAATCAGATTTTTCCCTAGAATCACTGATAGCTTTCAGCAAGTATGTTTGTTATTAAGCTCTTCCTCAGTGCACACACTAAGTGTAGGAAGACATAACCAAGAAACTAGAGAACATGTGCCAACGAGGGAGGTCAATGAAGAAAAGACGGTGACATTTTTGCACTGGGCTCTGATGGAAAGTGTGGAGGGAAGGCAGACAGCTGTGAAATAAAGTTGGAGAGTGAATTTTGTGGAAGAAGAACTACCTGATGCAGCTCCTCATAGGATATTAGTAGGAAATTATCTTTTCCTTTCATCTGCAGCCAGCCATGAATGTGGTCAAACCATGAGCCAAATGCCACTGTAAGAGAAGTTAGGGGAGAAGGGGACTGGTTCTTACTTCTGATCTCAGTATTGCCTAGGCAACTCAGCACCTGTCAGCCCTGCCTTAGGAATTTGATGACCAAGTGACTCTCACTGCATGAGAAATAGAATTCCGCATGTGTAAGATATCATATTTACGGTGAGGTCCCCCTTTACTTGTGAGGAAATGATTTTGAGTTGTGAAGAGAATTTAGCTAGAAAATGAAAGAGGTGGACTCGAACTCCACCATGTTGGGAATCAAGGTCTGTGTTCTTTTTTGGTGACTGGTAGGGTAGCTACCAGAAGACACCACGTGTTGCACGTCTCTTTTTTGCCCACCCCTAAGCTTTGGGATAGCCCATCTTACGAGAAATTTTCTTTTTCCCTAGACCAATTTATGCAGATGACTGTAGCTGGGAAATCATTTTGACATATTACTTTGATAGAGTTCATTTTTTTTCTGGAATAGGGCATCCATTGTATAATGATCATTTGAAAGCTCTTGTAAATTGATTTCTTTTTTTGTATTTTGTTAGTGTTTTATTTCCTTTGGAGAAAAGGAAGTTACACAAGACAGGCTAAATACAGGAATGTCAGCATTTTCAAAATTACCCCAGATAGGTTTATACCATTTTCCATCCCACCAGAAACACTTGAGCATGCCTCCCACCCACAGTCTCCCCACCAGGACGTGATTCAAATGTTCTGAGTGGCTGATGTGCTGGTCCGAATAATGGTTTCCACAACAATGTCCACGGCCCACTCCCAAGATCACAGAAGATGTGATTAAGGATCTTCAGATAGACAGATTTGCATGGATTACCCAGGTGGAAACGATGTGATCTCGGGGTTCCTCATAAGAGAGAGGTAGGGGTGTGAGAGTCAGAGGAGGGGATGTGACAATGGCAGAGACAGAAGGCTGTGGCCATGAGCTAAGGAGTGTGGGCGCCTCTTGATGCTAAAAAGGCGGGAAGTGATTTCTCTCCCAGAGCCTCAAGAATGAAGGTAGCAACGCCCTCACATTAATTTATGTTCATAAAACATAATTTTGATTTCTGAGCTTTAGAGTATAAGACTGTTTTTGTTGTTGCTGGAGGCCACTACTTTGTGATTATTTCTTACAGCAGTGATAGAAGGGTAACACACTTCCCATATGATACGTGAGAAGTGGGATCTCACTGTGTTTAAATTCACACCTTCCCTTTTTTATTGAGTCCGGTGAAGTGTCATTTTCTATGTTTATTTTATTTAGAAATATATTTTGGCGGCAGAGCATGGTGACAAAGATTCTCTGTTCACTGAAGCTACTCTAGATTTCACAGCATTGAAGTTGGATTGCAGTGTTATTGTATAAACCATGAGATGGTGAGACCAGGGTATGAAGGGCAGAAACACCACTACTATACCTAGACTCATTATTTTGAGTCAAACTCACCATTTCCTTGGAGAAACCATTGAAAATATTCTTCAAATGAATCTGGGTTTCTGGTTGCCTTTACTGTCCTCCAGAAATGATAACCAGAAACAATAACATCTTTGGGATTTCTCATGATGTAAATACTCTGAAATGAGAAAAAAGAGAGGTAACAAGAATGAATATACCCATTTCCCTGCCTATAGTGTTGTGGCCACTGAAGAAAAACCCAACTGCCATTAAACTGGCTATATTTAAGTCCTCTTGAATGATTCAATTAACCATTTTTCAAATTGTTGATTTTTGATTTAATCTTTATGGTATTTTTTATTGTATTTATTTTGTGTGAGAGGCAACTGATTAATGTATCTCTTGCTCATTGATCTGTCTCTCCCTCTTTCTACCTTCCTTCCCTTCTCTATAAAAATGAATAAACAAAATCTTAAAAAAAAAAACGGTAACAGAATGAACTGCAATGGTGGTGATCACAGTAAAATACAGGAACCCGAGAGAACACAACAAAACAAAGAGGAAGATAGCACAACGTTAGTGTAATCTAAGACCTTGTGACATTAGAGTATTTTCATATTCTACTACCACATTGCATGAGATGTTTTGAGGGAGTTTCATATAAGGTGGATCATATTTTTGGTGCCATGTATCTTAAACTATAATCTCAGATGAGGAAGAAATGCATCTGTATAGTCCGGGATCACTGAATAATACAGCCTTCCTTTAGTGCTCCTGAAATTATTCATCGGAGGGCTGGGCGGGAGAGACCAGCCCGACATGGATGGCCTCATGAGTGAAAACACCCAAGTGGGTTTCAGATGTGCAGGCCAAACAATTTCCTCTGCAACACATTTGCCGGTTTGCAGTTGAGGTGCTCCCCCCATGGTCCCATGAACATAGGGCACCTTGTGTTGGTGCTGCTGCCAGGACTGATTGACCTAAAGACCGAGTCTGCTGTGGACCAATACCAGGGAGAGGGTCTGGGGTATGATACTGTGCTTTGGAACAAGCTTTTCTAAGATCCAAACTGACATTGCATTATTAGCTCACCTTGGCCTTGGACTTGAAGAATGACTTGGGGAAGAATTGAATAGGGAGGTGGGAGGTGTAGAAACGTGGGTCTTTCTGATTCTCTAAAATATCAAGCCCTGCCTGCGTTTCTACCCACGGTGAACGTTTCCAGATGACAGTAGATTGTACCCAAGTGGGGTCCCCCTTGGTGTGGATCAGACTGATCATCTCCCTCATCCAGTTGGTTCCTGAATGATGAAGAACAGAGTGTTACCTTCTTCAAATGGCTTTGACTCCACTGTGACGTCTTAAAGATACCATTACTTCTGTATGTCACCCATGAAGCCAACTGATGTCTCATTTCTCATTTACTTTTAGTCCCATTCTATTGGTCCTTCATTCTTAAACACTCTGTCCCTTTGTCTTTCATGAGACTATCCTCACCTTTAGCCCCACTACTGTATTTAAATATAGAAAATTCAAATTGTAGTAAAATACCCATAACACAAAATTCATCATCTTAACCAATTTAATGTGTTCAGTTTAGTAGTGTTAAGTACATCCATACTGTTGTTCAGTCATATCTACAGATTGCATTTCATCTGCCACCACTGAAACTATACTCATCAAACAGCAGGCTGTCCCACCCCTGCCTCTGGCAACACCAATCTGTGTCTTTCTGCCTCTGACCACTCTCGGTAGCTCGAATGAATGGAATCACACAGTATTTGTCCTCGGTCACTGGCTCATTTCACTTACTATAGTGTCCTCAAGGTTCCTGATGTTGTAGGAAGCATCAGAATTTCCTTTTGTTAGAAAGGCTGAATAATATCACACAGTATGTTTATACCACACTTTATTTCTCTCATCCACTAATGAACATTTAGGTGCATTCCATCCTTTGGATATTGTGAATAATGCTGCCAGGAACACGGGGGTACAACTGTCTCTTCCAGTCCCAGCCCGGAGTGTGTTAGTTTACAGCAGAAGTAGAATTGCTGGAGCCCTTTTACTCTTGCTCCCACTGCTAAATCTCCCCTGCTTCCTCCTCATCACGTGAACAACCCTGGACCCAACAAAAGAATTCAGCCCGCCTCATACACAGAGCCTCCTGATCTACATGCACTAGCAGGCAAGGTAGAGAAAATATTGTTAAGGAAGGAAGATTCCACAAACACCAAAACTCCATCAGGAGAGCGAACTCTCCCTTCCTCCAAGCAGGGTCCTCCTCCTAGTGAAGTGTGGCGATCGGATCATGAAGGGAGGAGTCGTGGACACACACTCTCCAAGTGAGGCTGACACTGTTTTTGACTAGACAGTAGTCAAATGCTAACTATTCCTACTCAAGTGAAGTTAGGGGTCCACTCACTGCTGGATGCCTGGAAAGGCTCTACAAGGGAAAGGAACTGGGACCTTCGAAAGAGCAAAGATTTGTTGCTCTCCTGTATGGGAGACACTAAGAGGGGAATGCTCAGCCATTGCAGCTGCCTGCTTCCATCTTTGAGTGAGCAGAGAGGACTCACAGCCCCCACCTCATGCACCCCTGGCAGCCCTGAGGTGGGCCCCACCATCAGACATGCAGGCAGGTCTGCCCCATGAATGCCTGCAATTTGGAATGAAGTGGGCCAATGCCTTATTTTTAGCCAGAGCATTCGGAATAAGACACATTCCCTTATGTGAAGTTGTGTTTGTCTGGATTCTGTTCTGAGCAGCCATCTACAACTGCAGCCTTACACTTGCTTCATTTCTGTTTCTCCTGACCAGGGCAGCAGGAAAAAGTATGTCTTCACTAAATATTGTTAAGCTCCCACAGTAAATAAAGCCCTGCACAAAGGCCCTTTCTGAGTCATCACATTTAAAAAGTTACGTTTTTTTTTCTCTTTCAGATTATTTTCAATAGTCAGAACTGTAATGTCTGCATACCCCAGAAATGTAGTCTCCAGCCTAGAGTGTTTGTGGTGCCATGCTGCCTGATTCCAACAATTAATAAATCACTTTGAACCCACTGCCTCAGGGAGGCTTCATTCTCATTTCTCTGTCACTATCCTGGTCCTCAATATGTTTGTCAGTTGACCCACCTGCTGAAATAGCCTTGTCAAATCAAATCTCATCCATGGCTCCCTACTTATTGTTGGCTGTTACAGTTTCTTCATCATCAGGAGCACCTAATGATCTTTATAGTTACCTGCTCTGGTCAGTTTGCTGTTTAAATACTCCCCCATGGAATTACATCACACTGGGACAGTTTCTTGATTCCTTGGCATGAATTTCAGCTTGCATATTAATTTTCCATTTAAACACATTTGGCCTCAGTTTTTGCCACTCTCTGTCTGACCCAACCCTCCACAATGGTTTTTTAGGTTCATGATTGTTCTTCAGTATATTTTAAATCTCGGCCTTTCCATATGTAACCCACCCTGCTCTGTTTCCTCCTCAACTCTTACCAAGTGTTGCCCCGTGACCCAGCGTTAGTCGGCCACCTCTGAGACATCTTCTCAGTTAGACCTAGACTTTGCTGAGTCCACCATTGTTGAGCCCACTTCAGCAAGAATCCTGCTGAGTAACTAACATGAAATCACCCCACGGATTCTCCAACCCCTCAACTTGTGACCCTGGTTTCTTACCTGACTTTGGGTAGGAAAGTGTGATGACATCTTCATCCCTCACCACAAATTGATCCTGCAAAGATCTCAGGTCTCGAACAGTAGAGGTGGGGAATGGAATCCCTTCAATCCACAGATAGTCGTTAGCCATCTCACACAACAGCCTGCAGGTTCGGTCTGCTTTTTCTGGTCTTAGCAATGGAGACAGCCAGTCTGCTTCCTGGTTCTGATCCTAGTCGATGTAACAGAACGAGCAGCCCAATGTTCCTGGAACACAGATATGTAATGGGATCACAGTCTGCCTGAATGATTAATAGCCATCTCAGTACTTTCAGAGAATTTTTGGATTCCATGGAAGAAGAACCCAGAAAGTAAATAAACAACTAGAGAATAAGAAAGTGGGGTGACTCTTCATTTGAAAACAAGTTCTGGAAAATAACTTGATGCTCTTTTCCTGCCAATAATTACCTCTGTGGGTGTTTTATCCTAGGTTCTACAGCTAATAATTGATTTCATTCAGAAAACATCCAATCAAACAGTATATTTAGAGTCCATTAAAATTGTGATTGTATTACTAGGAATAGGTTAGATTCATGAACTATTTGGCCTGTTCGCCCTTGACTAGTAATATTTCTAATTTTCATGAGTGATGACATGGGTAGAATTTCATATCATTTTCCTAACATAAAATGAGCTGATACTTATTTTCTTGCCCCATTTCACTGTACTGGTTGCTGTAGATGTGTCCCCCTATGTGGGTGGTGTGAACCCTCCTATTGTAGTTGATCCTTGCTTGCTGTTGACCTTTCAGTGGGAGGGGTTTACCTTCAGGCCAATCAGCTGTGAGGACTGATTGCCACTGCAGCAGAGGAAGTGCTGTGCAGGGCAAACCCAATGGAGTACAGCTTGCTTCAGTGGGGCTCTGGTGCCAGAAAAGTCCACTCCTCAATGCCACGTCCACTGCCGCGTCCACTGTTGGATCCCTCTCTCCATGACAAGGTCCTGAGAGGGGGTGTAAGACTTCAAGGAAGCAGTTTCCAACCTGGTGGACGTGGCATGGAAGGCCCTGCAATACCTATTGTGATTGTGCTTGCTTTGGGGATCATGACCCTTTTTGCTTTAATCATTATGAATACCCTGGCAGTGATTCAGATAGTGTGCCTAGACCTTTCCTGGCTCAATGAACAGAATAATAATATCATACTAGAACATCAGGAAATATAGGTACAAAGAAACAACCAGAACAATCTGAGAATTCAAGCTTAATCAATAACAGATCATTGGAAAAACACCCAAGATAAGATACAATACTCTAAGAAATCAGGAGATGATCTCACTGCTTTCTTAGAGGGAATCAAAGTACAAAACATGTCTATAAAAGAACTCCTAGAGAAACTTAAAAGAAGTACCCTTGAAAGCCCCCTGCAACATAGGAATAGCCCCTCCTTTACCTTGAATAAGAATATATATCAACTAGACAGGCAAAGAAATAACAAAAGCTAGTTAGTTATTACAAACTAAACAGTCACTAGGGAGTCAGAATTTATAGTACACAGAAAAACATTTTGGGCAAAAAAAAAGGTAGATAGCTAAGTTAGACATCACAAGGGCCTTATAATAAATTTCCTATTTTCTCTACTCAATCTAGCGTATCCTTTTGCCCTATGACAAATTCTGAGAAACTTTAATATACAATAAGATACTTCTAATTGTCTGATTAATGGCTCTCCTAGTTAAAATAATCTTTAACTAAATCTATGAGAACTTTCGTACTTTTACTGATTACCTTTGTATTAATTTTTTCTGCTTAAATGATCATGTTATACTGCAAATGTTAATCACTACCTAAAATGAAAATATAAAAACCTGCTTGTACTTGCAATAAACGGAACAGAGCTTCACTGTCCTTTGAGGCGTGTTGTCGTCTGTTACCCAGCGCCGACGCCTAGCCTCACCTGTGGGACCCCTTGACCCTCTGCGGCTGGACCGCAGCACCTCAAGTGTGTCACTCATGAAAGTTGTTGCGCGATGGTCTGAAACTGTCCACTGTAGGTGTTGGCTTTGGGACTTTTTGAAGGGATTGGCCAACTGCTATGTGTTCCCAGGCCAGGGCCACCACCAGGAGCTGCAAAATGACCTACACATGGTTACTAGTTGTGCTGGACTTGACGATGCTGAGGAGAGGCAAAGCTGCCAGCCAAGGCTGGCTGCCACTACTGCTGAGCCTGAGGCCACATCACAAGAGGTATGGGACACACTGAGGCCAGATGGTGCTTGATAGTGTTTGTGTACCTTTGAGAAACTTGAGGAAGGTCTGAAGCATGAGCCAAGACAAGCCATTTCTATGGAAAAGTCACTGAAAATGACTCGGGTGGGCCTACAGATTGGGTTGGAAGGGGTCTCAGGGAATGACCAGGGTGGCATGGACAGTGTGAGCCAGGTTGATGGAGTCTCATATGATGCCCACCTGCACCCACAGGGGGCGGGCTCTGCAAGAGAACAGTGGCCTCTACCAGCACTTCTGTCTGGGAGAAAGCTGCCCCCACGCTCTGGCCAGCTCTTGTTTTGCCCGATGTCAAACAATCCACTTCTTGCCTGTGTGACTCTGGTACCTTTCATGCTGCTGCCCTAGTGCAAGAGGTCAGAACAAGTATTTGCAGACAAGTCTGTCCATGGGACCTTTAGGGGGAACAGCCTGGAATGCCAGCAACCCTCCACTCACTGAGCCACAGTCCCTGCCGGTTTTTACAGCCACAAGTTAGGGGGACTTCTCCTATTGTCATGGAAAGTCAGGGCTGGTGTAGGGTTGGCCCTTGTGAAGGACCTGGCATAGGTCTCCTTGGGGGAGAGCTCTGCAGCTGAGACATTCCTCCTGATTTTTACCCACCACATGTCAGTGTGGGCCCTCCTCTTCCTTGTCTCTGTCTATCCTAGCAGTCTCAGTGTGGCTTCCTCATATCCTTAGTTGTAGGATTTTTGTTCAGCAAGATTTCAGGAGGTCCTAAATGATGGTTGTTCTGTAGTTTAGTTGTAGTTTTGACGTGGTTGCAGGAGGTGAGCACAGCATTACCTGTGCTGCCATCTTGACTAGAAGTCCTCACTGAGCTTCTTTAAGACAGTGATTTTCAGTTTTCTCAGGTGATTTTTTTCTTTTTCCTCACCTGAGAATATTTTTTTTCATTGCTATTGGATAAAGAGGAAGTGAGAGGGAGAAAAACATCAATGCAAGAAAGAAGCACCGACTGGTTGCCTCCACTAAGTGCTCAGTGGGAGACTGTATGAAATGTAACCAGGGATTGAACCATCATCATAGACCTTTGTATGATCAGAAATCAAACACGGAAACTTTTGGTTATTGGACAAAGCTCTGATGGACTGAGCCATACCTGCCAGGGCTCTCGGGTGATTCTTACATCTCCATTGTTTTTGGTTTAGTTACTGGAAATTTAAATGGTCCTTTTGGTGGCCTCATGTCTCCCTGACCCTTCCTGATCCTTGTAGCCTTGTGTCAATGTCTGCGCACTCGAAGAGGCAGCCGCTTCTATGAAAAAGCCTTTATCATACAGCATAGTTGGGGAGTCTGGGAGGCACTCCATTGTCTTTCAAACATTGTCTTTGGAGGCAACCACTTCATTCTTTTTGCCCCTTTCTAAGGTGAAATTTTATAATTGTATCTTTTCTGTCCTGCAGAGCTGTGTCCCACATTGAGAGTGGTCTACTTTTGTCCCTAGGCCAGTGCACCAAGGTGCTGGGACAAGGGCAAAGGCTTCCCTTTTCTTCTTCCCTCCTGAATTAATAGCCTCAGGGCGGTCTGAAGCTCCTACAGGCAGAGCTTGAAATGGGCATTTTGTATAAATGACTTAAAAAAACGAGTGTGCCCTACAGGAGAAATGACAGCTGATGGGGAAGGAAGAGAGAACCCAACACAGATGTGGCTGCAATGGGAGGCCAGTTTCATCCTGGTGCCCGGCAGGCTGGAGAGCACATCACACCACACTTTTGGTCCCTTCGGAGGTCACGGTGCTGGGCTTGGTACTTGCATGCGAGTCATTCATTGGGCGCTGGTTGCTGAGCAGTAGCCTAATCTCTCAGGAAACTTCTCTCTGCTTTTGCCGAGAACTGTTTTGCAGAAATGAGGGCACCTGCTATTTGTCATCAGCCTCACCCATGTCAGCTGGTAAACAGGCACCAAAAGCCTCCGGCCCAGAATACGCATGCTCAATTCTAAGTTCTCATTCAAGATGGGATGCCACACAAATGAAGAATATATGTGATTGGGGGTGGGCACCAAAAGACTGGTATTTGTGTGTGCCATGTCTCATGGTATACTTTCATATGTCACAAATGGAGGAATGTAATAACATGTATTCATTAACCCGTTTAGAAAGGACATTAGCTTTAGAATATTTTCTTTATTATTCTGCATGTTTGAACCACTACATAACTTTTTGTAATTGAAAAGTTATGGCTTTAAATTGAAAAGAAGCATGGTTACTGTCAGTTAAGTATATAAAGGATTGTAACGTTCAATACAAAGTTGGCTTTGTATGAGCAGGCCGGTACCCAACCATGTCAGGAAGATCAGCATTTGCACAGGACGACATTAGTTCCATGGGAAGAGGCCCTGAGGAAGCCCAGACTACTTCTCTCGGTAAACTGCATCAGAGGCTTCACTCTGGGCCACTGTGAAGTGATTTTTCCAGTCCCCAGTGATTGCTATCAAACACAAAACATCAGTCCAGATTAGCATAAGGTCTCAGTGCATAATCTGAACGTCTGCTGCATCCATCCCTACTGTGAATCTATCATATGCACTGAACTGGCAAAGGCAGGCAATATAGATACGGGGTTCAGTTTTGTGCTGTGGATTGACATGCCACTGACTGCAATCCCAGACTACTAGTTGCATAATAGAGTTGGGTTTACTCTGTGCCCCAGTAGTGGTCTCAAAGGGACAGTGTGAACGTTAAGAGCAAATGTAGAACTGCACTACCCAGAGCTTTCGACAGTTTTCTTTACCTAGAGCGCTTTTCCCTTGGGTAGCCCAGCCCATAGTCCGTGTCATCTTCTCTTTAAGTTCACCCCAACCACCCTATTTGAAATCCAGGTTGACAATGCAATATTCCCAGTCTTTGCATTCAGCACTCTCATTTCCTGTGTTTAGTGAACATGTTTTATTGTTATCATAGGCACCACAGCTGAACGTTTGATCAGAAGCTAAATCTCATGTCTTTTCCCTCATTTGTCTGTCCACAGTGGTCCCATTTGAAGGCTTCTTTCAGTGGAATTTATATTCTCATGGTCCATATATGTGAGGAGACTGGAAAGTCATCAATGTGTGGGTGCCTCTCACACACCTGCAACCGGGAACCTGGCCTGAAACCCGGGCATATGCCCTGACTGGGAACTGAACTGTCAACCCTTTGGCTCACAGGCTGGTGCTCAATCCACTGAGCCACACCAGCCCAGGGATGGTTTGGTTTTTTTATTCACTGATTTTAGAGAGAGCAGGACAGAAACATTGATGTGAGAGAGAAACATCAATCAGTTGCCTCTCACACACGCACACAGACCAGGGATCAAAACCTAGGTATTTACCTAACCAGTAATCAAACCCACAACCTTTTGGTGTACAACACACCAAACAATTGAGTTACACAGGCCAGGGCTCGAGACTATCTTCATTTTGTTAGGACCCTACCATTTTATCCCAGTTGGATGAAATACTTGGCACAGAATGGAAACTAAAGAAAATATTGAATAAATAAAATAAATGAAACAATATGCAAAAAAGCCTTAAGCTCTGAAATATCATTGCGATTCTGTATTATTTCCAGTTTGAATCTTGGCTCTCAAAATTTCCCTTGCTAAGAAACAGCATAATGTCTCTAAACTCATTTTTTTTGTGCTTGAACCAACAGTATGCATTCACCCATACACTCATTCCTGAGTTCACTTAGCAATCCTGACCCACCTTGTGGTGAATTCCCTAGGGGAAGTCACCTTCCCAGACATCAGGTGTTACCTTCAAGATGTCGGCAAGCATCATGAAGCCAAGGGGGCCTTTGGCAACAAAGAGTGGGTGGGAGAAACTTTAGCTTTTTTTTTAAATAGACGTTTTAAAAATATGTATTTTAAAATATTTTATTTTTAGACAGAGGGGAAGGGAGAGAAGGAAACATCAATGTGTGGTTGCCTCTCGCACGCCCCCTACTGGGGACCTAGCCCACAACCCAGGCATATATACCCTAACCTGGGAATTAAACCAGCAACCCTTTGGTTACAGGCTGGTGCTCAATCCACTGAGCCACACCAGCCCAGGGTAGAAACTTTAGCTTTATGAGCCCAAAGACCCTGTGACTAGAGAGAGACCAGAGGGCCAGGGCTCAGGTGTCCCCAGTCCTGATCAAGCCATCAGCACATTCTCTGAATGAAGCAACCTTTCCCCAAGAGGCTGGTGAACTTGTCTAAGGCATTACACTTCTCTCCCTCCCCCTCTCCTTAAAATCAATCAATATGCATGTCCTCGGGTGAGTATTAAAAAAATCAGCTCTGACTTCTTCTATCTCTATGACTTTGGGTGAGTTACTTAACCCCCTGGAAACTGGAGATGTTAGTAGAAACAAACAAAAAAACAAGTTAAAAGGATTTAATAAAATCTTTTTTTTCCCATTTGAAAACAATTTATTGCTTTTTCTTCCAAAGATTTATAAACTTACCAAAAAAAATCAACGTTTACAGACTTTTTTCAGACAAAGAATGCAAGAGGTGGAAACCTGGGCCGCTGTGGTCACCAGGTGTTCACCAGATCCGCACGGGCATCTGAAACAAGCCCCCCCCCAGATTTGTTTCATTGCCTTCAGAGGCACTGCCCTCCTTATGGACCCTCTCAAATGGCACAGTAGGTCATTAGTCAAAGTCACTGGAATGGTACAGAGGTTTTTGGTTTTTTGCCCTCCTGCTATAAAATGAAATTTTCAGTTCACTTCTGAAAAATAAATTGGTCAATAAACTCATTTTGTTCTGCTTCTACTTTACACAAAGCTTCATATTCAACCCGATACCTTTCGAGCTGCATTTTCTTTTCTGCTGTTAGTGCTTGGAGTTGCTGCTGTTGGGCTTCTCTCTGCTTTGCTATAGATTTGAGCAAGTTCCGAGCACCAGTGGCCTCCATCTTCTCATTTTCTGCTTCTTTTGCGAGTTGATCAACAAGCTCAATTAAACCACCAACTATTTTCTGAAATTGGCCAACTTTGTCCACAAAGTCCTTGCACTCTTCCTTGAGTTCTATGGTCTGCTGGGTAACCTCTGGGTCCAACACCCGCAGCTTGTTCAGCTCATCGAAGTGCAGCCCTGCTTCACTGAGGACGTCCTTGGCCATTGCTGTTTCCCTTCCAGCTTCTCTAGAGAAGCTCTGCTCTGAAAGAAGGACAGTGGCAGCCAGGAGGAGGTGCGTCATAGGAGCAAGGGTCAGCAAAGAATCAAGTCCGGTTGCTTGTCACAGGCATCGTTCATTCAACACATATTTCTTGAGTGCCTAGTACATGCCAACTTTGCTAGATGTTGGGGGTACAGAGATGAGTGCAACATGGTGCCGGCCCTGGAGAAGCACAATTTAGCTTTCAACCCCGTGGCGGCGGTGCGCTGCAACCCCGGATTTAATAAAATCTTAATAGTAGAACATTTTGGGCCAGCGACAGCAATCAGGAAGTGCCAACTAGCTGCTACCACTACTACTAGTGGTGACGGTACTAATAGGAGTCCTACTAATAATGTGTGTTAACTGCTGTTTTGAGTTCCCCACATAGTTACTGAGTTGGGACTCAGTATCTCTTGATACCTAGTCCCAAAAACTCCCTCCCTCATAGGGCAACATCAGTGCCCTGAGTCGCCTGCCCGTGCTCCCCACACAGACTGTGATGTTTGTATGAAAAAATGTGTATTTGCTCTTCTCCAAACCCTTGGGGTTTTCTAAGCATTGACCCTGATGGAGTCTTTTGTTACATTAGTAAGATGAGTGCAGGAGAGTCTCTCAGGTGGGGGCTGTTTGCTGGAAAACCTGCCATGTGACCTGAGGATGGACACTTTCAGCTCCACCTCAGACGTCCAGGTGAGGCAAGATAATGAGAGGCTAGGAAACTCCTTGACAAGGGAAATAAGAGAAACCGAGAAAAAAAATAGTTAAACAAGACCAAACAATTTGAGCAATTTACATCAGCTAATGAATCACAAGGTTTTATCTTCCCCAACTAAGGACACTTACGGGCAAGTGGTTACACATTCCAGACCATCCCAGTCCCTCTTCGATGATGTTTTCTGAAACTGTAACCAGAAAATAACCCCTGACCCATCTATGCGCATTTTGATGCGCCAACATATTGACTGACACACCTGAAAAGCTAATGACTATTCTGTTAAAGGCATCCTGAGGCCTTCCCTAGGACTCCAGCTGGCCAAAGATAAAAAGCCTTAAGACAAAGGATCCACAGCGCCTGTGCCTTGTATCTCTTATGTTTTCCTCCTAAACTCCAAGGGTCCTCACAAGACTTGCAAGCAGGGGACCACTGGGCAGCAGCAGCTTGTCCCAGGCTCACCTTCTGATCCTGTTTCCAAAGCCCCCTTTTCTCTCTCCTGTTGCTTCCTGTACCTTAAGCCCTTCGTTTCACTGTCTTTAAAAAATGTACTCTCAAAATCACCTCGACTAGTGCTGTGAAATGCTTCCTACACTAAGTCAAGAAACCACACAGTGCCGGCAGGCCTAAGGCAGACCCCCAGCTCCATTCCCCTCCAGCTTGTTCCCAGATCACTTGTTCCCAGTGACACTGGGGGGAGGAAGGCTGGAGGCTGAGTTTAACCTCCAACGATTTAGTCGATCATGCCTGTGTAATGCAGCCTCCATGAAAATCCAAAGGAAGGTTCAGAGAGCTTCTGATGAATGACTATGTGCAGGTGTTGGAAAGTGGCCAGCTCAGAGAACATGGAACCTCCAAGACCCTTCCCATGTACGTTCCCCTATGCATCTCTCCCATTTGGTCATCCTGAGCTATATCATTTTATAATAACCCATGATCTAGGGAGTAAAATGTTTCTGAGATCTGTGAGTCACTCTAGCAAGTTCATCAAACCCAAAGAGGGGAATCATTGGTTCAGCTAATCAGACAAGCATAGGTGACAACCCACACTGTGATGGGCCCCTGATGTGGACATGCAATACAGGAGTTCGGAAGCAGTCTTGGGGACTGAGCTGTGGGGCCTGAAACAATAGCCAGCTAGATGGTGTCAGAGTTCAGTTGTGTTGTAGGACACCCAGCTGGAAAACTGCTGGATGGTGGGGGAACAAATCCACACTCTGACAGTGTACTCAGGACATGTACACACACCTATAAAACACACAAAAACTGGGTCTCTACACACAGGTCACAGCGATTTCCCAAACAGAACTACAAAACAGGGCCACACACATTCAAGGATACTCCCCCACAAACATACTCGCATTCACTATCTGCAGTTCCCCACACACAGACACATACTACACACCACCACGACAGGGATCAGTTGCCTTGAGCTCCTTGAGTGTAGGATTTCTGTTGCCAACACTCAACTCTGCAGATGTGCAAAATCCACCAGAGAGGATAGTGACACACACACATAACCGCAAAAACCGGGCTCTGAAGGGTCAGACAGGAAATATTTTAGGCTTCGTGAGCCATTCAAGTGTGGACAAAAATGAGGTTGTGTTACATCCCGTCCTTGCGAGTAAGAAGGGTCAGAGACTGCTGGGTAGTCAGAGGTGTTTTATTGGCCAAAGTTTCAAAGTTTTACCTGCGCAGGGGCGAACTCTCGGGGTGCCTCCGGAGACATGGTGCCAAAATGGCTGCAAATGAGAGTCGCGCCTGGCACTTACAGCCTGGGGTTTTTATTGGGGTGAGCAAGCAAGCGTTGAACAGAAGCAGACCTGGCCGTTAGCTATTGGCTACCTCGAGGGAACATACATGGCTATGCTTTCTGCTTGCAGCAGTGGAAAATTTTCTGCAAAGACAAGGTCATGCACAGGCGGTTATCTTGTTTGTTCAGCATTCTTTGTATTCTATCTTCCTTGCTGAGTCTGGACTCTGCCTAGAGTTCCTTGTTCCTCTTGGCTACTTTTATCTAATTCCGGGCCTAACATGGACCGTGCTCCAGCTAACTGAGCCACCTGGCCAGGGAAGCCTCCCTGTTTTGGATGTCCAGGTAGACATCAGCGAAATGAAGCATTCTAGCATTGTGCAGGACTAATTATGGGACGCTCCAAGTTCTGCAGAGCCCTCGGGACCCAGGGCTGGGGCGGTGGGACGAGAAGCGCCTGGACGGGAACACAGAGACGCGGAGGTTGGACCTGGCTGAACAGAACAAGACAGGCACCGCAGAGCCTAAGAAGGTCTGCGTACCTTCACCGGAAGAATGTGGTATGGCCCACGTGTGGGGCTCCCGTTCCGTGCGTTGGCGAAGAGGCAGGGCCTCAGCCCGCGAGCTGGCAACGGCGCCCCAACCTGGACCGCCCTGATTGCGCGCTGGCCAGCGGCTCCACGTCAGAGGGGCGGGGCCTCCTGTTGGTACACTTGAGACATCCGGGGGGCGGGGCGAGCCGACGCCCTCGCAACGCGTGGCTTTGTTTGGGGGTGGGGCCTCGCTCACAGGAGCAGACCCTGGGGCGGTCTCGCGAGTGAGGTGGCAGAGTGCGCAGGCGCAAGGAGCTACGGCGCGTGCGCCAACGTCTGAGTGGGCGCAGCCGAGAAGCAACTGGAGAGTGCGGAGGTGAGTTTGAGTGTGAGCGTCTGTGCTCTCGCGACTGCGTGAGGTCGTGGGCCCGAGGCTGCGTGGAGTCGTGAGGCTGCGTGAGGTCCACGTGAAGGCCACGTGGTCCTTTCCGCCTGCAGCTGCCGTGCGTTAGTGTGTTCGCGTGTTCGCGTGGCGGGCTGCGCGGGAGGTGAAGGGCCGTGACCGTGTGAAACGTGCGGTGGCGTCCTGTGCTGTGAGAAGAGGGTGGGTGGCCGCGCGCGCGTGTGTGACAGCCGCAGCGGTGGCGGGGGCGTTTCTCAGGACCCCGCATCTCGCTGTGGTCTGTGTTGTTTATACGTGAGAGAGAAGTGACTGCACCTGTGGGGCTGGGAGTGGGCGCGTCAGTGTGGCCCTGAGCGTGTGTGTGCGGGTGTGAGAGACAGTCTGTGCCCATCGTCTCTCACAGCCTGGGGGGCTTTGACTGGGTGACTGTGCGACCCAGTGTCCGTGGTTTTTCCGTTGCACGTGTGTGTCTGCCTGTAACTGGAAGCGCGACCTCGTGGGGAGGATTCCGAGCGCCGCACAGGCGCGAAGGGCCTCGGGGAAAGCTGCGCGTGTGCTGTTGTGCGAGGCTGGTCTCCCGGGAGAAGTAGGACGCCTGCCTGGGCGATGGGAAAATTAAATGGGGTAACAGGTGAGACACGCGGCAAGGATCTTGCGCTTACTTAGCACTGTGTAGGGGGTGGTTGTGGTTGTCTTCTCTGACCCTGTGCAGAGGTCGGGGTGCAGTGGAGATTATCTCGGAACTCGACACTGGGCACGCGTCCTTGAAGCCCAGGGTCTGACCTCGCCCGTTTGAGCAGTGGCGCCCAGTAACAGAATCCGCAGCGTGTTCTGCGCGGTTGAAGGGAGGGCAGGGCGAACCGCGGGCTCTGAGACTCCGACGTCATCACTTCACTAGCTGGGAGAGGTCACTTAAATCACTGCCCTCGGCTTCATGCGCAAAATGGGAATGATGGTACCAGTCCCAGGCTTGGGGTGAGCACTGAGTGGGACAAGACCGGCACAAATAAGCAAGGTATAAACGACCATCACAAGGATACCCGGAGAATAAAAGCCTCAGGAAGAAAAGAAGTAGAGCCTCAGAGTAAAGGTAGAGATAAGACAGCATGAAAGTCTGGGTCTGAGCTTAGATTCCGAATATTCTGGTCAGTGTCCTGGGAGGGCTAGAGTAGGCAGGAGTGGGGGTGGGGCGGGGCAGCAGCAGAGGGTCTCCCTGAATGCAGATGTCCCTAGGGAGCTTGTGGAGGGGGAAGACCTGAGCTGGGACCTGGCTGGGCCAGTGCGGGAGCGGTCCCTATAACACGGATTGGAGACAGCTGTGTCCAGACCAATTCTCAGCCTCCTCACTGTGGATAGTTTGAGCCAGATAATTGAGGGGGGGTTCCTATGAACTGTAAGATGTTTGTCCTTATCCCCAACCTCTACCCACCAGATGCCAGTAGCATATGCCCTCCCCAACTGTGAAAGCAAAAATGTCTCCAGACACTGCCAGGTTAAGTTAAAATCATCCCAGTTAAGAATCACTGGTGTACAGGACTGTGATGAGGACACACCAGGGGCAGTCCCAAGATGTGAGGAAGGTGGGGGCTAGAGGGAGAGGTCATAAAGGGACAGTATCCTTAGAGTAGGCTCTAAGAGGCACCCACATACTCATGCAGTAGTCACGTGCCTGCATGCGCTGGGCTGGTCAACAAGACAGATGAGGTTCCTACTCACCTGGAGCTTGCATTTAGTAGAGAGACCACAAATTTACAACAGGTGGCAGAAGAATCTTGGAAAGTAAAGTAGGGTGAAGTGATTATGACACAACGGTAGGTGCTGTTTTCAGATTCAACACGCAGGCTTCCCATGGGCACCTCACTCAACTCCAAAGCCAGAAATGGCCACCGTCAATGACTGTCAATCCCTTTATCCCTTGTCTTTTCTCTTCCAGTGTTGAAACCCAGCCCCACCCTTGGGCTCAGAGACTGGGGCAGTGGTTACAAACCATGGCTATGCCTGAGTAGCTCACCTTGGGAAGCTTTAAAAAAAAAAAAGGAGGCCTGGATTCAGTCCCCAGAGATTCTGATTGAATTGATCTGGCATGGGGCACAGCTATCACTATTTATCAAAAAGCTCCCAAGAGACTCTGATGTACAAACAGGGCTAAGAGCTATAGCTCTGACGGACCTCGGTGGGGTCCGCCGGGGCTTCTGGGAGTGAAGGAAATGGATTTGGTGGAGAGGGGAGGAGATGAGTGACCAGTGCTTTCCTTGTCTTAGCGTAGGCACTCCTGACAGCTGCATGTTCCTTCAGCAGGAATGATTCCCAGCTTCATCCTGCAGGGGAGGAAGTCTCTTCCTGTACAAAGAAGAGAAACAACCAGGCCCACGTTCATGTGCTGCACCTGCATATTCTGTTGTAGCTGGACTTGGAGCAAGTGTCTTTGGATGTCAGTGGCCCCTGGGGCCAACAGATTCAGGGAAGGGGCAGTCTTCAAATATTTGACAGGCCCTGGCTGGAAGGAAGCAGAGACTGCCTGTGCATTAAATGGCTGGCTTTCAGTGTCAGGATCCATCCCAAATTCAGTGCCTAGCACAGCCCCCCCGCCACCCAGGATCAGAGAGGTGCTGGCGCTGAAGGGGACCCTAGTTGTCTTCCCCTGAGGAGAGGCACAGGCAACGCCCAGTAACTCTTTGAAGCTTGTTTCCCTCCACGTTCCAGCTATCCTGGCCTTAGGACCAAGAATTTAGCTTTGCTTTCCAAAACCCTTTCCCACCCTGTGATCTGGACTTGGGGAGACAGGCCAGCTGTACTGCTGTGCCCTGCAGTGTCGATCCAGCCTCTTTTTTTTTTTTTTTCCTGATCCAGCCTCTTGGTTTCATCTGTGGCGGTGGTGTTTTGATGACGCAGTCACACATGCGTGGTACAAAAGGCCAAAGTGTAGATGGGGAAGATGAAGGGTTGGGTTTTTGTCCCCTGTGCAGTGACCCAGTAGCCTTTTGCAGAGACACTCACTGCCACCAGCTTTTTGATTACCCTTCTGGAGCTTGTCTAGGCCTTTGCAAACTCATGTATTTGTACCCTGTATTTTGTTTTTCTGAAGTGGTTTTTCTGTACTTGCCCCCACATCATTGCACTGTCTCTTGGAGGTTAGGGTTAGGGTTAGGGTTGGCTTCCCTGGAACAGTACAAGGCCATCTCATGATTCACATTTTGAACTGGAACAGACCCATCATCTAACTTGGAACTGAATTTTATGGTCTTGGATTGATTCCTCGTTCCTTCCCCCCACTCTCAAGGGAGAAGAGAACTCGAACATTGAGAGAGCGAAAAACTTGTAATTCCATTTCCCAGACTGCCTCTGGCTGTACCTCAATGAGAGCAATCTCAGAGTTTTCTGCAACGTGTCCACTGTTGTTGGCGAGGGGTGTGACAATAGTGCTCTCCCGATATGCGGCTGAGCTGCCGTCGTGGCCACAACTTACTTTAAAATAATTTTTTTAACATTTTGTTTTGTTTTGTAACTTGTTTTCTTCAAAATTTTTTAAGTAAAGAAAATGTGAATATTGAGTGAAGAGTGGTCAGGTGTCCCTTGCATTATCACTTTCTCTAGATTTCAGATTTCTCAGTGGGGGTGAGGAATAAAATGCATATCCCATGTCTGCCTTTTACAGATCAGCCCTTCTGCAGAAGACAAGTTCAGAGGGCTTGGGGTGGCTGCAGGCAGAAATGCTCTGTGATACGGTCTCAGCAGGGAGCAGTTGACTCTGCCGCTGACCGTCAGTGGGCCGAAAGCGTTCAAGGCTGGTCCCTGAGTCAGTCCTGTGTGCTGCTCTATGCTGGTGCTGTCGGCCTGGGCAGGGGGCAGTAAGCAGGAGTCAGGCGCCTGCCTGGTGGAGCCCGTCCTGGTGGGGGCCCGTGCAACCACACACATAGATGGGGAGCAGCGGGTGCTGTGAGCAGACTGGAGCAGCAGAATGGTGTAGACTCCGTAGGGCAGGGCAGTGCTGTCCCCTGCCACTAGTGCAAGACAATTTAAAATTTCCAGGAGCCATGTGGAGAAGAGTAAAAGACAGAACCAGTTAATCATTAAAGTTAATTTAATAATGCATTTTATTATTTAACTCAGTATATCTGAAACATCATAGTTTCAGTTCGTAATCAGTCTAAACAGCTACCAGTGATAGAGTTTACATGCTTTCTCTCGTACGAGTCTTCAAAGCCGGTGTGTGTCTTGCACACAGTGCCCCTCCATCCAGATGTGTTGTGTTCACTGCAGATACTTGTTCTGCATTTAAATTTCATAAAGTTTGTCATTGGAGAAGGATATTCACACATCCCAGTTGTTCTGAACATACCTCAAAGTTTTACAGTAGCTGAATTGAGAATACATTTTCAATTTTAGTTTAAAAATTAATTTTAATTTGGTAATTTTCATATTCTATTTTAATAATAAATTCATAGGAATAACGTAAAATCCAACACTCTGTTTCTTAGTTGCCCGAGCCTTGATTCCAGGGCATTCTTGCCACACTGGCTGGCAGCATGCCTGCGGTTCTTTTTTTTTTTTAAGATTTTTAAAATTTATCTTTAGAGGGGAAGGGAAGGAGAGAGGGAGAGAAGTATCAAATGTGTGGTTGCCTCTCGTGCATCCCCCACTGGGACCTGGCCTGCAGCCCAGGCATGTGCCCTGACTGGGAATCGAACCGCAGTTGTTTGGTTGGCAGGCCAGCGCTCAATCTGCTGAGCGATACCAGCCAGGGCTTGTGGTTCTTGTAGAGACTCCAGGGCCACCCAAGAGGCCAGCAAGCCTCCTGACTTCTGTTCTCCTGCAGCCCCACCTTCCCAGCTTGCTGCCCCTGCCCAGGTGAGGACCCTTAGAGGGGAAAAAGGGGTGCCTGCTGCAGGAGGAAAGGCCAAGAGCAAGGTAAGCAGCCCTTTCTCTGCCTTTGGAAAGGTTCCATCTTGTGAGCCGTGGACCATTTACTTTTCCTCCAGGGACACTTCCTGCCCAAAGGAGATGCAACCAAGACCCAGTCCCCGGGTTCCTCCCATTGCCACAGAGGGTGGGAGCTGAGAAGGGCCTGCTCTTCTTTTTTCTCAGTGTGCACGTGACCACTCCCCTGTTGGCTCAGCACCTGTAGGGTCTCTGCCAGCATCATTGGGTGAAATGCCCTCCCTACAGGGAAGGTGATAGCCCCCAATTTCCCAAGATGGAGATGCCTGCCCAGGAGGGACCTGCTGAGGCACAGGTGGATTCCATGTTGCTCTCCAGAGCTAAGCTCCTAATGTCGTTTTGTTTTTATATAATATGCTTTTTATACAACACACTCTTAAATATGCTGCATGGTGTTTCATCGATGTTGATATACCTGCCCCTTCTGGTCCCAGCACCTCCATGTGTGTCCTGAGTAGCTCCCTGGTCCCAGTCTCCTGTGTTTGGGACAAGTCCTCTGGCTGCTGCAGGCACGTGGGAACATGGGCCCACCATGACGGGACGGGGGTTTTCCATTTCAGGCACCAGTGACGTCTGGGGACTTGGCCATCCACTTCCTCCTGGATGAGTGAGGAGGGTGAGCCCTGTGTGGAAGGATCTGTACGGACGTCATGCTGGAGAACTGCCAGCACCTGGTCTCTCTCGGTGAAGCCCCCGCAATCCACAGCTACCCTTCAAGGGATGGGAACTAGCCAGCCCGGCCTGGCAAACAGAAGCTGCTCCAGTCTGGGTGTGTTTTCTTTTTAACAGTTTTATTGGGATATAATTCACACACCATACAATTCACCCACATCAGGTGTCCAACTCAGTGGTTTTAATTGTACTGGCAGAGTTTGTGTCCATCAGCACAGTCATTTAAAAACATTCTGCCACCCCCACCCCCAAAGAAACCCCATGCCCATTCGCATCACTCTTCATTTTCAGGGGAAAATCCCCCCAGATGAGGCAAGTATTTCTCGGTCTCTATGGACTTGCCTGTTCTTGGCCTTTCACAGAAATGGAGTCACACAGTATGTTGCCTGTGTGGCTTCTGTCACTGCCCACCATGTTTTCATGGTTCATCCACATGTACTGGGTGTTAGTGCCTCATTACTTTTTACAGCCGAGTAACATTCTACTCTGTAGATAGACCACATTTGTTTCTCCATCCACTAGTTGACAGGCATTCAGGCTTTCCCACCCCACAGCTCTTATGAATATGTTGCTGATAACATCTGTGTATGAGTTTTTGTATGGATGCATATTTTCACTTGGGTGTGTAGCTATGAGTGGAATTGCTTGCCAGTCATATAGTAGCTGTGCATGTATCGTTTTGAGGACACCTCACTTGTGTTAAGACAGAGAATTTCATATCAGGAGTCAACAGGTATTGGTAAAAGGTGACTAGTGGACCCTAGGGTGACGCAGAGGTGGTAAGGCAGGACACAGCCACCCTCCCAGGGCAAGGGGAGAGTCTAGGGCTTTCAGGACTCAGAGGGACACACCCTTGTGTGGGAGGATCGGGTTGCGTTGCCTGGTTCTGTACTCCTGACGGGGCAAGATGAATCTGGGGGTGGATGGGAAAGAGGAAAGCAGAAATTGAAACCACCGGAGCCCCTACCAGTGGATGCTCCCATGGTGTGGCTGGAGGAGGAGAGGTGTGGGTTGCGGAGCCCCTGTGTCGAAAACAGCTCAGAGAAGGGGGTCGGGAGCCAAAAGGCAGCAGCTCAGTGACCAGCCCCAGGAGTTTCCGCTCCTGCTTTTCAGGAAAACGGCTTTGTAGAGTTTCGAAGGAAAAACTCTGCTGCTTGTGCCTGGATTTTCACCCCCCTCGTTCTCTGACTGCCCTTCTGGTCCTCTGGGCTCCCTTTGTGCTGATGAGTCTCCAGCCCCGCTGCTGACACAAGGCTCAGCTCCGATGTCATGGCACCCACACCACATTCAATTCCCGTGTTTGTCCTGTTGCAGGACTTTCTTATCAGAGGCCAACGTGATCACCTTGTGAGAGAAGGGGATAGCACCCTGGATGGAGCCAGCGAGAAGACGCAGGGGCCTGGGTGAGTGACAGAGCCAGGGCCTAGGAGTTCTGTGTAAGAGCACATGCCACTGGGAAGGGGCCACCCTGCGAGGTGACGCCTGCGAGCCACTTCCCCAGCTCCTGGCCAGAAAGTTAAGTCTCTGTAGTGTGATCCATCCCCACCCCAAAGGAGAGTAACTAACATTTTATAAGCCTTTACTGGGTATCAGCCACCCTGTAAACACAGGTTCCTGCCGACAATGCTGTGAGGCAGGAACTATTATTCCTATTCTGTAGACAAGGAAACCGCAGACCAGAGAGCTTTAGTGACTTGCCCCAGGTTGCCCAGCTAGGAGGTGGCAGCAGAGCTGGCTGTGAACCCCAGCTTCTAGTCTCAGGAGCTGAGATTTTAACATCCCTACCCGCCACTTTACCTGCCTCGGCTTCCATATTTACCCTCAGAGAAAGTGCGTTCCGACCGCCATGATGATAGCACCTTTAGTGATAGTGTCCCATTTGCCTGGACCACAGTTTTTAAATCCATTCATCTGTCAATGCTTCCACCTATTGCTATTGTGAATAATGTTGCAGTGAACATGTGTGTGCAGATATCACTTTGAGATCCTGATTTCAATTCCTTTGGATATGTACCCAGAAGTGGGATCACATGATAGTTCTAGTTTTAATTTTCTGAGAAACTTCCATGCTGTTTTTGACAATGGCTGCACCATTTTTTACTTCCACCAATGGTGCACAAGAGTTTGGACTTCTCATCTTGCCAGCAGTTACTTTCTGTTGTTGATTTTGTTTTGTTTATGGTGGCCATCCTTATGGGTGTGAGGTGACATTGTGGGTTTGATTTGCATTTCCCTTGTGATTAGTGATGTTGAGTGTCTTTTCGTGTGCTGGCCATTTGTCTGTCCTTGGAGAAGTGTCTGTTAAAGTCCTTTGCCCATTTTTAGTAGGGTTTTCTTTTATTGTTGAGTTGTAGAATTTCCATATGTATTTTGAGTATTTACCCCTTACCAGGTTTGCAGTTACTTTCTCCCATTCCTCAGGTTGCCTTTTCACTACTCATTGTTTCCTCTCACATGTAGAAGTTAAGTCTGGTGTAGTCCTAGTTGCCTACTTTTAATTTGTTCCCTGTGGTTTTGGTGTCATATCTAAAAAATTAGTACCAAATCCAAAACTCTGGAGCTTCCCCCTTGTGTTTTCTTCTAGGGGGTTAATACTTTTTGATCCTGTGTGTAGGTCTTTAATCCATTTTGAGCTAATGTTTGTATTTGGTGGAAAGGAAGGGTTCTACTTCATTCTTACGCATGTAGGTATCTCATTTTCTCAGCACCATTTGTGGAAGACACTGGCCTTTCCCCTTGTGCAGTCTTGGCACTCTTTCTTAAAATTATTTGACCAGATTTTCAAGGGTTTGTTTCTGGGCTCTCTACTCCTATTGGTCTACATGTCTGTCTTTATGCCACTACCACACCATCTTAATTACTGTTGCTTTGTAGTATGTTCTGAAATCAGGAAGTAGGAGGCTTCCGACTTTATTCCTCTTTTTCATCACTATTTTGGCTACTCAGAGTTCCTTGAGATGCTATATGAATTTTAGGACTTTTTGTCTATTTCTGCAAAAATGTCATTGGGATTTTGGCAGGGATTGCATTGAATCTGTAGATCACTTCAATCATTTGGTCACTTTTGCAATATTAAGTCTTCCAATCCACAAGCATAGAGTATCTTTCCCTTTATCTTCTTTGGTTACTTTTAGTAATCTTTTGTAGTTTTCAATTTATAAGTCTTTTACCTCTGATTAAATTTGTTTTTAATATCTTTCTGATTTTATAGTAAATAGGGTTGTTTTCTCAGTTTTTGGAGTGGTCATTGTTAATGGATACAAATGTAACTGACCTTGGAATGTTGATTTTATATCCTATCACTTTACTGAATTTATTTACTGGTTCTAACAGTTTTTGTGTGTGAAATTTTAAAAATCATGTCATCTGTGAACAGAGAGGATTTCATTTTTTTGGTAATGTCTTGTATTTCTTTTTCTTGTCTAATTGTTCTGGCTAGAAGTTCAGTGCTGTGCCAAATAGTAGTAGTGAAAATGGGCATCCTTGCCTTGTTCCTGACCTTGAAGGAAAGGTTTCAGTCTTTTCCCCATTTACTGTGATATTTGCTGTGGGCTTTTTAATTATGGCTTTTATTATATTGAGATCATTTTATTCTAGTCGTAGTTTGTTGAGTGATTTCATTATGAAAGATTGTTGGATTTTGTGAGAAGCTCTTTGCCTGCATCCTTTGGGATGATCATGTGGTTTTTGTCCTTCATTTGTTAAAGTGATGTATTACACAGATTAATTTTCCATTTTGAACTATCCTGCCAGTTCAAGTATAAATTCCACTTCCTTGTGTGTATGATCCTTTTCATGTGCTGTTGAATTCAGTTCGCTAATACAGTTACCCCTGAACAACATAGGGGTTAGGGGCATCGACTCCCTGCATAGTTGAAAATCTGCATGTAATTTAAGTTGACCCTGCATATCTGCAAGTTCCAACCATAGATCAAAAATACCGTAGCTCCCTGGCTGGTGTAGCTCAGTGGATTGAGTGCGGGCCTGCAAACCAAAACCAAATCAAAAAGAACATGTGCACTTCAAAAACAATGACGAAAGTCAGAATGAAGGAAAATACTATTACAATACTTTTCCCAGAAAGGATTTAGATGCTTTCTATTTAGATGTACAGTTTTCGTATATTTCCAATGTATAAAATGGGATCATCCTTGCAGTAACATTTGACAAACTAATTCTTCGCTTAATATTCTAGGATATTTTCTATGTCAGTTCAACTTAGCTACTTACATGACAGTTTTTTTTACATAACAATTTTTTAAAAAATAAAACACATATTTAATTTGTTGGTATCTTTCAGACTCAAGGTCTAAATGCAAGACCAAGAAGTTACATCCAAATCATTGCAACAAACCTAAGCAATGCATCTATCAGAAAACAGTTTCTGTAGCACGAAAAGGTCCTCCAGGAAAGAGAGGCTGCAAGAAAAATTCAGTCCTAATAAAACCCAGGAAAGTGCATCCAGGGAAGAATTCTTTAAAATGTAGTAACAGTGGGAAAATCTTTAGTCAAAGTTTATATTTTAAACTCCGTCAGAATTCTCATACTGAAGAGAAGCCTTATGAATGTAGTAATTATAAAAAAGCCTTCAGACAGGTCGCAGCCCTCATCCTTCATCACAGGATTCACAGTGGAGTGGAAGGAAAAGCCATGAATGTGGTAAGTGTAGGGAAAGCTTCATTAAAAGAATGACCCTGGCCCTGGCTGGTGTAGCTCAGTGGATTGAGCGCGGGCCTGCGAACCAGACAATCACGGTTCGATTCCCAGTCAGGGCACATACCGGGGTTGCAGGCCGGTTCCCTGCAGGCCAGTTCCCAGCAGGGGATGCACAAAAGGCAACCATACATTGATGTTTCTCTCCCTCTCCTTCCCTTCCCCTCTAAAGGTAAATAAATAAAATCTTAAAAAAAGAAAAAGAATGACCCTGAATCTCCATGAGAAAATGAATGATGGGAAAAAAAACCTTTGGCTGTGGGGAGGCCTTGAATCAGTGCCCATCCCTCAGTCTACATCAGAAAAGCCGCCTTGTGGAGAACACCCCCTGGTGCAGAAAGTGTGGGAAAGCCTTCATTCAAAGGTCATCCTTTTTACTTCATAGGAAGACTCAAAATGGAAGGATAATACGTAAGTGCAGTAAACATGCAAGAGGCTTCAGTAAGAGGTCAGTCCTTGTTGTACCTAAAAGAATTCACACTGGAGAGGAAAACCCATGAGGGTGAGAAGGCCTTAACAGGGAAATCACCTTTTAGACAATCCTTATAAATGTAGAAAATGCGGAAAATTCTTTAATAGGATTTCATCCATTATGCTTCATCAGAGAGTTCATGCTTCAGAAAAACCCTACATACATGATAAATGCCAGAAGGTCTTCAGGTGGCTTTCAACCCTTATTCTACATCTAAAAATTCATAATGGAGAGAAACTGTACAGATGGAACAAATGTGAGAAGGTCTATAATTGGCACTCATCCCGTCTTCAACACCAGAAAGTTCATACAAGGAAAAAGAAACTGTTTGTCAGGAATGTGGGGAGATGTTTTCTGAAACTGCCAACCTTAAAATTCATCAGGACATTCATTCTGAAGAGAAACCTTTCAAATGCAGTAAATGTGGTAAAGTGTTTGGCCACCAATTATTTCTTATTAAACATCAGAGAATTCATACTGGAGAAAAACCGTACCAATGCAAGGAATGTGGGAAGGCCTTCAGCCATCTAATATCTCTTACTCGACATCAGAGAATTCATACTGAAGACAGACCATATCAATGTGGTCAGTGTGGAAAGGCCTTCAGCCAGAGTGCACACCTCACCCAGCATAAAAGAATTCACACTGGAGAGAAACCATACATGTATAAAACATGTGAGAAGGCCTTTAGTCAATATATGTCCCTTATTCTACATGAAAGAAGTCATACTGGAGTGAAACCCTATGAATGTAACAAGTGTGAGAAGGCCTTCTTCAGCAGTGTCTCGGACCTTATCTGATATCGGAGAAGTCATTCTTCTGAGAAACCCTATGCAGCTACTAAATGTGGGAAGGCATACAGTTGGAGCTCATCCCTGATTTGACATCAAAGTACCCATTCAGCACAAAAAGCCTAACATTGTTACAAGAGCAAAGACTTAGGCTCAAAGTAGCAGAGACAGAAGCATGAGGAACAGGCATTTGTCTCTAACAAAAATTTTGCAAAAATGGGACCATTTGATGATGCATCCCACTTTGAAAGCCAAACAGCAAAACTTCTTGGTGACTTTGACCTGAGAATTTGAAATTGAGGCAGTGACCTAATCATAAGTCTTAATCAAGCTCAGATGATTGGATACTTCATTTTTCATAAAAACCATTCTTCATTTGGTAAGAATCACTGATTATTTTTTTCCAATGTAGTTTTAAAGCTATTTTGTTGGTCATATACAAAAAGTAGAATTGTAAAGTCCATCTTTGTGGGTGGGGCTTTGATCCTGATTTAATGTCATGTGAAGAAAGAGTTTGGGGTTTGTCCCTTAGAACAGAACTATCGCATATGAGGGACTTCCTGGAAAACTAGGATGTCACTTTCAGCTGACAGAAATACGTGGGTGATAGTAAGAGTGAATTCTTGAATGGATAAAGATGACACAATTGTGTGGAGCAAGGAGACGTCAGGATACTATCTCCATAGATGGGAAGTTCCATGACCTTTGTGATGTGAAAAACCTAACAATCCTGACAGTCCAGTGCTGGCTGGGGGAGTGGGAGTAAGGTGGGACAGGATATACTGAAGACCGTGGAACTGCTGAGCAGAAATATTTGTTTTATTTGAAAACAAATTTTTCTATATTTACATGAATGTTGGTATTTTCAAGTAAGAACACTGGTGTGCAATAAGTAATTGGTGGAGAATGGGGCCTTGTAGACTGAATGTGTCTAACCCGAATTCATATGTTGAAGCCCTTCCCCCCAAGGTGATGGTATTTGGAAATGGGGCCTTTGAGGAGTAATTGGGATTATGAGGGTGGAGCTGTCATGATGGGATTTGTGTCTTTAAAAGAAGGGACACCAAAGAGATTCACTTTTCTCTCTCTGCCAGGTCAGGACAGAGCTGTCTGTAAGCCAGGAAGCTAACACTGCACAGTACCCAACTGTGCTAGCATCCCAATCTTGGCCTCTCAGCCTTGAGAGCCATGAGAAAGAAATGTCTGTTGTTTAAGACCCCAGTTCGTGGTACTTTGTTATGGCAGCTGAACTGGTGAGTATGTGGGAAAACCCCTGGATTTGTGTACCAGGCTGTTCCCCTGTGAGCTGTTCACCATAATAGTGTTCAGTCTCTTTCTAGCTTGTGCAAAATACGTAAGAATTGAAATCAAAGTACTTTTTTGCAAGTGGGTTATATACAGTTGGGTGCTTTTGCGTATATTTTACCTCTGCAGAAGCAATTTTCAAAAAACTTTTTATTGATTTCTTAGAGAAAAAGAGGAAGAGAGAAAAAAAATGATTTGTTGTTCCACTTATGTATGCATTCATTGTATGTGCCCTAACGGGATCAAACATGCAACTTTCGTGTATCAGGACAATGCTCTAACGAACCGAGCTTCCTGGCCAGGGCTACAAAAGCCATTTTTTTAAACACCCATATTTGTCTTTTGCTTAGCATAATGCTTTCCAATTGCATCCGTGCTGTCACAAAGGGTAGGCACGCCTTTCTTTCTGCTGCATAGAATTCTGTTGTGTAAATGTACCATAGTTTTTTGATCCATTCATTTACTGATGGGCACCTAGGTTGCTTCCAGCACTTGGCTATTGAAAATTGTGCTGCTATGAACATTGGGATGCGTGGGCTCATTTGAATTGGTGTTTCAGGGTTCTTGGGATATAATCCTAGCAGTGGAATTGCTGGGTCAAAAAGCAGATCTATTTTTAGTTTTCTGAGAAAATTCCATACTGTTTTCCATAGTGGTCGTACCAGTCTGCAATTCCACCCACAGTGCATGAGGGTGCCCTTTTCTCCACACCCTCTCCAACACTTGTTGTTTGTTGCTTTGTTTATGATGGCCATTCTGACCGGTGTGAAATACCATACGATCTCACCTTTAACAGGGACCTAATCAACAAAACAAGCAAAATATAAACAAAGAGTGAACTTGAGAACAGGCTGACAGTGACCAGAGAGGAGAGGGGAGGGAATTTCAGGGGGAAAGGGGAAGGGGTTGCAGGAACAAGTATAAAGGACACATGGACAAAAACAAAAGGCGGATGTGGGTGGAAACAGAAGGGAGGTGGGGAGGGCTGTGGGGGTGGACTGGGATGGGGGTACAAGCAGAAAACTGTACTTGAACAATTAAAACAAAATTTAAAAAAAAACAACCATATCTTGTTAAGAGAACTTTGGAATGTGTGGCCACATGGATGAGGTCTCTAACTTTGACCACAACTGAGGAAAACAACCACATTTGTGAAGTGTGATCATACGTGCAGTATAAGGTATGACAATTTTTTATTTAAACTTTTCACATCAAAAACTAAAAAACAAAATTTTCACATCAATTCTATAAAATCATTAAAAAATCTCCAAGGTTGATTTTTATGACGTTTATTATTTCCATTTTTCTTACATTAATTTCTAGTGTTCATTGCTCTTCACTTTCTTATTAAGGTGGAAATTGAAGTAATGGACTTGAGTGCTTTCTTTTAAAACTTAGGCGGCTAGTGCTATTATATTTCCTTTTAAATACAGTGTTACACCTTTTGATATTCTATGTTCTAAGTTTCATTGAATTCAAATACTTTCTATATTTCCTTTTTTGGTTTCTATTTTGACCCATGGGTTACTAAAAATTGGGCTATTTAGGTCCAAATATTTGGGGATTTTCTAATTATCTTTCTGTTACTGATTTCTAATTTATTTTGGTCACAAGAACATTTTGTATGACTTGAACCTTTTTAAATTTATGGAGACAAGTTGTAAGGCCTGGAGTATGATCTGTCTTGGTAAATGTGCTGGGTGCATTTGAAAAGAATATATAGTATATTCTGTTCTGGGGTGGGATCACTTCAAAATGGTCAATTAGGTCAAGTTGGCTGATAGTGCTGTTTAAGTCTTCAATATCCTTACTGGTTTTCTACTCATTATATTGAGAGATGCATTTTGAAATCTCTTACCATTGTGGATTTGTGTGTTTCTCCTTATAGTTCTATCAGTCCTTTCCTGGACTTCAGGTAACTTCCACATATGTGTTCTGTTCACTATTCTGATAAATACCAGAGTTTACTCAGGTAAAAAAATTGCAGATGTCTATGTTGTTTTTTCTCTAAGAGCACTCAGGCGCTTCATCCTGTGAAGTGTAACCTCCTCAGTCTCCTGGAATCCCAGCCCCATCTCCTCCACTGAGCAACACTGCAGCCTGGAAACACCACGTGCAGCTCCCCGGGGAGGTCGTAGCACAGCACTCGGCTCATTCGTGTCCCGTGTCCCAGGGATCTCTCTCGTTGCCAGATGTCCAGAGTCTCTTAAACACCAAGGTTTTATGTAGTTTGTTCAGTTTTTTAACATTTTAGGTGGAAGGGTAAACTATTCCCTCTAATTTCATTTTCACCAGAAGTACAAATCTCAAATAAGCACTTAGTGAAGGAAGGGATCACTAAGGGTCTAGAATCTATTTTCAAACAACATTTCAGTTAACATTCTTGTACATATATTTTGTAAGGTTTTTTTGTTTTAACATTTTAATTTATTTGAGAGAGAGGATGGGAGGGAGAAAGAGGGAGAGAAACACCAGTGTGCAAGAGACAGATAGATTGGTTGTTTCTCGCATGCCCCCAACTGGGTACCTGGTCTGAAACCCAGGCATGTGCCCTGACCGGGAATCAAACCGGTGACTTTGGCTTGCAGGCTGGCATTCAGTCCCCTGAGCCACACCAGCAAGGGTGCTTTTGTACGATTTTACCAATGTTTTTGGAGGATGAATTGCTGGATCAAAAGACAGACATTTTAATAGATATTGACAACTTGCCTTTGCTATTTAAACTAGTATCTATATAGAATGAAGGATTCTTAGAGAAATTTTAGGCACCTTCGACCAGTGCTACATCTTGCTCACCAAGTTGGGATGCATTAGTAAAGTTTTTCAGAGTTTCCTCTGCTTGCTTTTTCTCCATTATGTTCCTCTTCTCAGAGGACAGAGGGTACCAAAGATCCTGACATGTTCAAATCCTCACCCAGAAGATATGTTTTATAGATTTTAGAGGAAGGGGCAGGAGACAGGGAAAGAGAATGAGAGAAACAGAACTGTTTCCTATGTGCCCTGACTGGGGATCAAACCTACAACCCAGGTATACACCCCAACTGAGAACTGAGCCTGCAACTTTTTTGTGTATGAGATGATCTCCAACCCATTGAATCACCTGGCCAGGGCTTTGTTACACCTGAATAGTGTGTGATATGAGGTGGTGTCACTTTCCTATTTTAACGATGCTGGCATATTTATTTTTTGTCCCCGCCTCCCTTCATTTTAGAAGGAACTTGGATAAGGCTGAATCTTCCAGTGTTTCATAGGGCCTCCCTTTGCAGGGCTAGAACTTAAATTTTTTGAATGAGTAGAGTTCTTCCTGATTTAGCTGTCTGTCAACAGGCAGTCATCCAGAGCAGCAGGAAATTCTAGTCCAGTGGTTCCCAAACATTACTGCATACTGAAATCACCTGGAAGGTGATTTGCCTGAGTTTTGGACCAGGTACCCCGCTGGGGGCATGCGAGAAGCAACCAGTCTCTCTCTCTTTTGCACATTGGTGTTTCTCTCCCTTTCTCCCTCCCTTCCTCTCTCAAGTAAATAAAAATCTTAGAACAAAAAACCTTACAAAATATATGTACAAGAATGTTAATTGAAATGTTGTTTGAAAATAGATTCTAGACCCTTAGTGATCCCTTCCTTCACTGGGGAATCTTATTTATGAAAATGCATATTTCAAATGATCAGGTCAGGGTTAGAGCCCAGGATTCTGGAGCTCGAACACATTCTCAAGTGATGCTGACACTGCTAGTTCGTGGCCCATAATCAAAGCAGCAAGGATTTGGCCCTTACTTTGCAGTCGCAGCTCATCATCAGTCACGATAAATCCCCTTTTCAGGCCCCGAGTTCCTTCTTGAGCCCTCTGGTCCCTGTCCTGCCACTGAGACCATAAACAGAGATAGGGAGACTTGAAGAGCCAGACTTTTAAAAGTAATGCTGTGGCTGAAATGAAAGTGTTTTTCTGTTTGTTTTTGGGTTTTTTGCCCAGATACACCACTGCTTTGGAGTAATTTTGTGCTTTCAAATGCAAGAGCAGCTTCCTCCCAGGATTCTTACCACATTTAGCAGCATTTCTTTGTGGACTTTGAGGCTCAGAATTGTACGTCTCAACTTCATCCAAGATGGTGGAGCTTCCACATCTGATTCTTGTCCTTGTTGCTTTTCCTTGGTTTCATAAAGGAGGGGCAGATAGAGACACCTTGGTTCCACCACTTAAAATTCAGAAGTTGGTAAATACATTTAAAGGTTCCTCATACATACATTTGAACTTGCCTTTTCGTGAATTCACTCTCCTGCAGAGACCAGAAGGGACTGGGAAATGAAGTTTCTTTACTGGAAGCCAACCGCCTTTGTAGATCAGATCCGTTCTTCATGAAAGTCGCACTTCCTGGTAGTTGTGTCTCTACCAGCCACCTTAGATGAGGGCAGCCATCTATGGAAGCCCTTGACAGTAACTCCCCTGACCCTGGTCAGGTGGCTCAGGTGGTTGGAGCATTGTCACATACACCAAAAGGTTGTGGGTCCAATCCCTGGTCAGAGTGCATATGGGAGACAACCAATGGATGTTTCTCACATCGATGTTTCTCTCTTCCCAATCCCCCTTTCGTCTCTAAAATCAATAAACATATCTAAGGATTTGAATTTTTTAAAAATAATATGGTTGATTGTCCTAGGTAAATGGCAGACAGTTCTTCAGATACTCTATAGATGTTTCCCCAAATGGCAAGAGTTACTGGGATCTCTGTATGTTACCAGGAAGGGCAAGGGAACCAATGAGAGATTCTACAAATTCAAAAAAAAAGTGTCAGCTTAGGCTGCTGTCACAGCAGCTGCCCTAGTTCACTGTTAGTCCATTCCATTTTTTCATACTTTAACTTTTAGATTCATATTACATTCTTATTTATAACATCAAATATTACTAACACTAAATTCTCTCTAGAGAATATCCAATTGCAGTCCCCTCCCCAGAAGAAACACTTACTGGTTGAATGTGTCTATTCAAGAACTTTTTCTAAGCATTCACACTTACATAAATGTATGAGAAATGTACTTTAAAAATATAATACTGTTTATTCTGAAAAATTTGCTTGTTTCAATGTATTTTAGTTAAATCTACATCAATATTCAGTCCATTCTCTTAAACTGCTGCTAGTACTTCTACTAATGCCTCTTCCAGTGTTTCCTGTACCGACCATACTGCCTTCCAAAGGAGCTACAGTGAATATTTTTTAAAACTTCAATGCCTCCAAAGTAGCTGTGATGAGTACTTTTTTCTCCCCACCACTAACAACTTTTAGATTACATTACTTAAATTTGTTTCTCAATACTAGCAGAGTTAAGCAGGAACTCATTTACTGGCCACCCATATTTCTTCTTGGATTTGTTCATCCTTATCCTTTGTCCACTTTTATATTTGCCTAGTTGTACTTTATTGATATCTTAATTTCTCCCTTTGTATTAATTATCTCCCTTTCTGTTGCCTTTTAACTTTGTTTAAAAGCATGCTAACTTTTGATGTTAACCTCATTAATCTTTATGGCTTTCGTTTTGTCTATTTTAGAAAGATATGTCCTACATCGAAATCATAAACACACCTGACTATATTTTCGTCTAACTTTTGCTGCTTTACTTATTTTCATATTTAGGATTTTATTGTACGGGAAGTCATTTTTGTGGGTGAAGGGTCTCATTCAGTGTACTTATGGAAGAGAGGGTGGAGTGGGAAGCTGCTGGCAGGGGAGACTAACATAATTTTCATGTAGAAAAGCACTTAACAGCCCTGTTACTGTCTCCACAGTACCCCCAGGCTCCACGCAAGCCAACTCAGAGCAGATGGGTTCCCATTTAACTGAATCCCTTAACATGTGAACATTTTGGTTAGCAGTTTCTTGTGCTACATTTCATGAATAAACAAACACTCATCTCTCTTTTGCCTTTGGCAAAATGTAACTCGTCCAGTGATGACCCTCTTTTCAGCCTTTTGTTTCATACCTTTTGCATGTTTATCTGTTTACTGGATCTAAGGGGGAGATATACTTGTATGATGTTTAACTGCAAAGAAAATCTTGGTTTGTCCCGTGAAAATTCTAATATTGACAGCTGCCTTTCACAAAGGTTGTCCAGTTCCTACTTCCTCACCCAGCACATAGAAGTATCTCCTTTCATGTGCTTTTGCCATGCAAGCAGTTCATTGGTTTAACTTTATTTCTTCTGATCCCAGTGAGATTCAGTACTTACCATGTGTTCATCTGTCACCTGTTGCCTCTTCATACCCTTTGCCAGTGGGGAGAAGTGTCATTTTCTAAGTAATCATAGGAGAACTTCTATATTAAGGATATGAATTTTATGAATTAATGATTTCCTCTAATTCTGATGTTTAAACCTTTTGTTTATACTATCTTTGACTATGTAAACACTTTATTAAATAAAGTTCTCACACAATCAAACCTAGAATCTTGGTATGTGTGGTGGCTTCTGGATCCACATCATGTTTAGGAAGATTGTTCTTACTCCAAAGAATGACGGGGTGGTTTTGTACAGAGCTGAGTCAGTTTTACCAATACTGTTAAGCCAGTGGCATGAAATAGCACCTTTATGATATACTTCCTTTATATGTATATCTGTATGAATGTGTATGTTCACACAATCTTTCAAGCCTTAAGAAACTCTTAGGCTTTTGTTAGGCATAAGGAATCTGTAGATTAATTTGGGGCCTACTAACATTTGTGTAATACTGAGTCTTCCCCCTACAGAAGGGTGTCTCTTCAAGCCTTTCTCTTATTCTCTGTTTTAATCATTTTTTGTATCTGTATTCAGGTGAGTTGGTTAATGCATTGATTGCATTGTCAGTCAGGAAGTAAAGTGTAAAGCAAGTCAGATATAAAGGAACAGGGAATGGTTTGAACTGTGGTAACTGGAAAACACATGTCCACCTAAAGGGATTCATATTCCTTCTAAACTTGATGTGCCAAGTCAAACATGTTTGTGGGCAGCAGTTCATGAGTAACTGATCTATAGTTTGGGTTTCCCTTCCTAGCAGGAACTCAATTTTAAATGACAGATGTAATACAATGCATTCACGAGGAATTAGGAGCAGGGTCAAACTTAGACTTTATTTTTCCGTCTTCTTTGGTTATTGACCTTTTCAAGTTTTCTCTTTTTAAGCATCTGTTTTGTCTTTTGTAAATGAAAAATATGCTTCAGTAAATTCTACTTACCGCAAGTTGATTTTTAAAAGCTGGCTTCTTAGAACCATTGACTGTGTAATGAAGTTAGTCGTATCTCTGTATGTTCAAGCTGAACTAGAAGCCACCATCTCACTCTGTTACCCTGTTCTCTAACTTCAGTCCTGCTGGATAAGATTCCCTGGTCACCCACCTTTATAACAATGACCACTGTTCCTAATCAGAAATCTTTACAACCTCTTGAGTCCTGAGCTACTGCTTTTATTTTTCAGCTAATCATTGTCAAAACGATCGTGTCTTCTTTGTATAGCATGGTATCTTTTTATTTTACATTAATGTTTACTGAATGAATGCTTTATGCCAGGCACTCTGCTGAGTAATTCACATGCATCATCTCACTTAATGCTCCCATTAACTTTCGAGGTAGTACCATTATTATTCCCATAACATAAATAAAACCGAAGCTTATGAAAGACAAAATATTTCTCCAATATTAGAGGGCAAAAAATGGAAGAGCAAGGATTAGAACCAAGAACTACTTGATGGTGGGATATGAGCTTATAATTCTGGACAAGTCTCCAAAGAATGAGGTGGATATTGGCATGAGATGGGGTTTTATAAGGTAGACTGGAACAAGGTATCGGAGGAAGATCTTTCAGGCTATGTTGAGGAATGTGTGCTTTAACCTTAAGAATTTCAGGATGCCACTGAGGGGTTTTAATGAGAGGAGTGATATGATCGAACTATTTTTAATACAAGTTTGTCTGCAATGTGGACAACTGACTAAGTGGCAAATACAGGAAACCGGTTAGAAAGCTATTTCCATAGTCCGTGTCAAGAAGATTATTGTGTACTGGACAAAGGTGATGGAGTGAAAATAATTAAAGGAGTGAGATTCAAGGCATATTTAAGAGATAAAACCTACAGGTCTTGGCAACTGACTGGACATGGAGGGTGAGGGAGAAGAGAGACTCAAGAATGACTCCATAGTATGAATTCTTTCATGATGAGCCAAGTGTGCACGCTGCCTGAAAGATTTCCTGCAGTCCTTGCATTCATAGGGCCTCTCTCCAGTGTGAATTCTCTGATGCAGAGTGAGAGAGCCACTATAGCTGAAGGCTTTCCCACACACATTACATTCATAAGGCTTCTCTCCTGTGTGAATTCGCTGATGCTGAGCAAGGCCTGCATTCTGACTGAACGTTTTCCTACATTCCTTACACATGTAAGGTTTTTCTCCAGTGTGACTTCGCTGATGTTGTGCCAGCGACGAACTATTGCTAAAGGCTTTCCCACATTCGATACATTCATAGGGCTTCTCTCCAGTATGGACCCTCTGATGCTGATCAAGGTATGCGATCTGGCTGAAGGCTTTCCTACACACTTTACACTCATATGGTTTCTCTCCAGTGTGAACTCTCTGGTGTTGAGCTAAGTGTGCATACTGGCTGAAGGCCTTCCTGCATTCCTTACATTCATAAGGTCTCTCTCCGGTGTGAATTCTCTGGTGTACGATTAGGTAACCACGATGGCTGAAGGCTTTCCCACACACGTTACATACATAAGGTTTCTCTCCGGTATGAATTCGCTGGTGCTGAGCAAGAAATGAGCCATTACTAAAGGCCTTACCACACTCGATACATTCAAATGGTCTCTCTCCAGTGTGGATCCTTTGATGCTGAGTCAGATGGGCAATCTGGCTGAAGGCTTTTTTACACTCATTACACTGATAAGGTTTCTCTCCAGTGTGAACTCTCTGGTGCTGAGCAAGGTGTGCATTCTGGCTGAAGGCCTTCCTACATTCCTTACATTCATAGGGTTTCTCCCCTGTGTGTATTCTCTTATGTTGAGCCAGATTTGCACTCTGGCTGAAGGTTTTCCCACATTCAACACAGGCATAGGGTTTCTCCCCAGTATGAATTCTCTGATGAAGAGTAAGGGATGAACTCTGGTTGAAGACTTTCTCACATTCATTACATTTCAGAAGTTTCTTTCCTACATAGACTTTCTTACGTTTTATTTCAACAGATTTTTTTCGGTAACTTCTCTTTTGTGGCTCATGCTTATGTACTCTTTCTTTGGTGGGAAAACCCTGTTTTATAGCAAATACTGCATCCTTGTGGAAAGTCTGCCAAGATTTAGTGCATTCATTACTTTGATATTCAGTGAGGATTTCTTTATGAGTGATGATCAGTTGACTAGGATGGACCTCCTTACTTCCCAACTTGTTCTTAAACCAGTCCCCACTTTTACAGTCTTCTATTAAACTAGAGCAGTCAAGATTATAACTAAGATGGCTTCTTCCCATTCTCATTACTTTGGACGATTCTTCATAAATAACTTGCTTTGATGAGAATTCACTGTTTTTAAATGCATACTCCCAATCTAAAGGATAGTAAGAAAAAATATTTTGTTTATGCAATAGCAGAGAACTTTTAAAACAGTGAATAAAATGCATAAGTTTAAAGATTTAACAGCTGTTAAATGCAGTCTAAAAAGTATGCTATTACAAAGAACAAGAACTTAAGAAAGGTGATTAAGGACATAAATTAAGCATACATAATCAATAAGGTAACTCAGAAAAATTAAAAATTGAAGAGGTTATTTAAAATCACAATCATCATTTTATATCTACGTTAATGTAACAGTTTCCAAGCACCCTTCCTCTCTTGCCTCAGTTTATCCTGCATTCAAGATATGTTTATTATCTTTAGAAAAACCCATTTCATAATATCAGTGTGGCTAAAAAACCTCCATGAGATCCCTAGACCCAAAGACACACAAGGTACTATTAACTGCTTTAGGCTGTACATGAAACTCTATGATTAAACTTTTGCAGTCTGACAAAGGTCTTCCAAAATATCATTTTCTATGAGATATATTCCAACCAAATATAAAATTGTAGTTAATCCCTGGAGCTGAGATGCTTTCCTATAGAAGTAATTTAGTATCAAATTATTTGATTTTATTAACCTGCCACAGGCCTTAATTTGCCTTCCCCTTTCCATTCCCAAATCAAATCACCTATTCATCTCAAGATTTCCCAATGGTTTCCCACCACTTCAAAATAACCCAAAATTCGTATCATGGGTCACAAAACCCATGTAGCACATGAACATACATGGAAAACCTTTAATAACATTATAGCAAATCAGGTCCAGAAAATATGAAAGCACAATCATGACCAAGTATAGTTTATCCCAGGAATGAAGATTGGTTCAATATGTGAAAACCAATCAATGATCACTATATCAACATATTAAAGACGAAAACCATATATCATTTTAATAGATGTAGAAAGTATTTTACTAAATTTATTAATAAAAATTCTCAGCAAACCAGGACTAGAAAGGAACTTTCTAAAACTAATAAAGGGGATCCAAGCAAACTAACATCAACTTAATGATGAAAGGTTAAATACATTTCCCTTTAGGACTGAGAACAGTGCAAGTATATCTGCTCTACCAATTGTATCCAACACTGTACAGGAGGTCCTAGCTATTGTAATAATCCAGAAAAACAGGCATAAGAATCACAAAGGAAGAAATAACAGTGTATTGGCAGATAACATTATCTATGCAGGAAGCAGGATTCTATAAAACTACTAGAATAACTACTGGATGAATCTAGCAAGATTATATAAAATATAAAGATAATATAAACATCACTTTATATTCTTGTGTATTAGCAGCAAACAATGGGAAGAAGGAGCTTTTAAGAATTCCATGTACTCTGGCTGGTGTAGCTCAGTGGATTGAGTGCGGGTCTGGGAACCAAAGGATCAAGGTTCAATTCCCAGCCAGCACACATGACTGGGTTGCAGGCCAGTTCTCGGCAGGGGACGCAGGAGAAGCAACCACACATTGATATTTCTATCCCTCTCTCCTTCCCTTCCCCTCTAAAGATAAATAAATAAGTAAATCTTTAAAAAAAAGAATTCCATGTATAATAATACACACACAAAAAAGGCACGGATAAAAACTTTTTTTAGATATTTAAGACCACCACGTTGGATACTACAGAATATTACTAAGAGAAAGAAGACTATCAAATGGCTAAATAAACCATACTCATGAATGAGAAGACTCAATGATATTAGGATGTCAATTCTACCCTGAACTGATGTATAGCTTCATCATAATTCAAATCAAAATTTTGGGGGTAGAAATTCTCAACTTCATTTTAAAATTTATATGGAAACGCAAAGATCTAAAATAGCCAAAGTGATTTTACAAACTGAAGTATCTGATATCAAAATTTACTAGAAAGCTACAGCTATTAAGACAGTGTGGTACTGGTGAAAGGCCAGACACCTAGATCAGGAGGACAGAATGGAGTTCAGAACCAGACCTGAGCATTTATGGTCAACTGATTTTCAACAAAGGTTCCAACAAGGCAATATAACCAGGAAAGGAGTCTTCACAACAAATGGTACTTAGCAACTGAATATCCAAAGGGGGGGAAGTGAACTTCAATCTTTATCTTACACAAGACACAAAATTAGCTCAATGGATCATGCACCCAAATGTAAAAACTAAAATGTAAAATCCTAGGAAAAACATGGAAGAAAATGTTGGTGACCTGGGAATAGCAAGAATTTCTTAGATATGGCACAAAAGCACCAACCAAGACAAATTAATAAACTGGAATTTAAAAAAAATTGAAAATTTTGGATGCCCAAAAGACAGCAGTAGAAAAACAAAAACACAAACCACAATTGGCATACATATAAATGACAAAGGACTTGTACGATCTAAAGAAAGAACTCTTATAACTGAAGAAAAGAAACAACCCACTAAAATATGGGCCAAAACTTGAACAAACACTTCATGAAATATATAGAATGGCCAATAAGTTCACGAAAAGATGCTCAACATTATTAGTAAAAGAATAATGAATAAATAAACGAAATAATTTCCTTTAATCTAAAAGAAATGAGTGACCAAAAAGGAAAAGCAGAGGCATTGCTGTGTCCGGATTTTTTAAATGTGATGGAGCAACTTATGCAAAACTAAAAGGCAAGGACAAGGAGACCCTGTGACTTTTGGACCCAGAGAGCAGGACAGGTTATCAGAGAAGACAGGTGTGAGAGAATATATACAAGGAGAGTAAGTTGGGGAGCTCATGCTAAAGACACCTCAATGTCTGTCCCAGGCCCGAAGCAATTTGAAAAGCTACCCAGAAGGTATCAGTTACACAATGGAACCTTTCGGAATGGCAGAGCTTGTTTTCCTGCAGTGGCCTCACCTCCCGAGTCCTCTCACTCACCAGAGTGTGTGCCTCCTGTCCCCACCTCCTTCACCATCCAGGGCTCTTTTCCTTGCTCCAACAGTGAGATCACCTCTGGCTTAGAAACTGAGACTCCTGCTTGGAAGAAATAAAGAAGGCATTAGCCAGGCCCTTAATTGGATGGAGTTCCCTGGTCATCAGGAGGTGAGGGCATTATAGAGGGAGTTAAGGAAGAAGAATGCGGAACAGGAAGTTGCAGAAATAGTCTAATGAAGCTGCCAATTCTACAAAACTTGGCCTACTTGCAGGAGCAACAAAAGAAATTCAGTGAATTATATCAGAGGCTTCTCAAATGTTAGACTGGAGATCAGCCCTTTGTGCAGATTCTGAATTATGGGAGACCTTACCCAGTGACACCAGGTTCCTGTAGTTCTCCAGCATCACCTTCTTGTACAAATTCCTCTGAGCAAGATTCAGCCATTCCCACTCCTCTTGAGAGAAATCTATAGCCACATCCCCAAATGTCACCAAATCCTGAAATGACATAAACATACTCCTGTCTAACTAGTGTTCTTACCCTCATATCTGCATAGTTTGAAGAGGTAAGTCATCTGCCTTTCAGAAAGAGATACTACACATTAGTGCAATTTTCTAGTAGTGAATCTTGGGTTCTGAGCAACACATGTCAAGTAATTGCTGGATGACTTCTCTGTGCTTAATTTTGATGTTGCCGTGGTAAGTGTACAATTTCATAGTCTCTAGTAATGGAGAAAAGATTTATAAGACACACAAAAATGGGAAGTAACATTAACAATCAAGAGGAAAATAATACGTTATTCATACTAAATGCTAGAGCATTTCTCAATATGGAAAATAAGGCTGGACTGGGCCAGTGAAGAAAGGCTTCAAGGATGACACAAGAATGTGAGTTAAGCCTTCCAAGATGTATGTGGTCTAAAACAGCATTTTCCCAAACTCTACAGTGGAATGTTCCAGATATAACAATAGGATGTGTGTATACACACACACACACACACACACACACACATCACTCTATACTACTGATGCTTATAATATGTAATAAAATAGTAATTCTTATAGTGACTTTTCAAAAATATAATTTAAACAAAGGTAAGCCATCACAGAGAACAAACGGGGGCAACAGAAGATTATCTAACAGCTCTTGATAACCCCACTGAGTTTCAATGACAGCTGGTAACCTATCATGCTACCTAACAGACAAAATAATGGTAATTTTCAGCACCATTAATGAGCAAATAGTGAACATTTCCAATGTGATTATGAAGTGTATCAAAAATACCTACCACCGGAGGGACACACCCAACTTCTCATGTGTAATGAGCGAGAATTGTTGCTGTGTGAACTGTGGATCTTAATTATAATGTGGGACAAGACCTAGTCTGGTCCCTAAAAACTCAAAATGGGCCGTCTTCCTAATGAGTTCCATCTGCTCCAGACTTACCAGGGCTTGCCAGATGGTTCTTTTCATGGTTCTTGATCTGACGTGTCACAGAGTAATGCCTACTCTTAGTTGGGCTGACAGACAAATGGCACTCAACAGGACATACCTGGACAGCTGAACTGACTGGTCTAACCCTGAACAACCACCTCACAGGCTGGTTAACAGCCACTGCACTGAGTCTGACTGGCAGCCATGCCTGATCTCCCCTCAGTCTAGCAGCAGAGGGGCAGGCCTGGCACAGCATGGCCTCTGGGACCCCAGCCTCAGTGGTTGTCAAATACAAACATCACTCCTATTCTTCCTGTGACTTTATAGAGTAATGTTCCCACTGAAGATTTATTTAGGCACATCACTAATTTCACACAAAAACATTTTTAATGGAAAAATAAGTCAAAATATGAATCATGAATGCCTAAGTAATATGGAAAGCAAAAATGTGACTCTCATCAACATCAGTTACACGCATCAGTTTTCATCACTAAAACATGTATAATCCAGGGAAATCTGAGAGGTGAGTAAAGGCTTCAAGGAAGGAAGGGAACTTGGGTCTGAAAAGACGAACCTTGCGCTAAGCACAGTGAGGCACTGTCGACCATCAACTAACTATTAAAACAGACTTCAATTCGAACTCTTTAAAATTTGGGGAGAGAAAAGTTGTTCCTCACACATCATTTCTGCTGTAGATAGAGGTGAGGTAGGTTTTGCTGGATAAAGTTCTTAAAGACTTTTTTTTAGCTGCCCATACAAACTAATGGATTCTAGGTTTCAACTGTCTTATTGACATTTTTATCTTGGCCAATGAGACTTGACTACCTTTCAAATTTTTTTACATTTACTTTGGTTAAACAGAATTTTCATATAAGTTTGTCATTATTAAGGAAACATAGAAAAATTATATTCAGTATTTCTACCTTCAGTGAATTCTTTCCCTTTTTAAGTTAAAGAATGGAAAGTCCTCCACCCTCTACATCACCCGCCCTACCTCCTAGAAGCAATCAAAATTTACAGTTAGTGTGTATTTATTTAAATATTTCCTTACACAGACATATCTATGATTATCTATACACATTCATTTACTTATAAGTTTTGTTGGATGGATAATATCACATGATATAAACATGCCATATCTTATGCCATGTTTTACCAAAGTCTTGATTACTTTCAAGTTACATGAATCTTAATTTTTCACTCTGATTCTGCAATGTCTATTTCCTTAAAATAAATTTCTAGATGTTTTTCTCTCTCTTGAGACTAGGATTTCCCAGAATTATTTAACCTCAAAAATATTTTAAATTTCATTGTTTTGACCGAACAGTTGAGACCAGGAGTCAAGTACTGACCTGGACTCAATGAAATACTAGTAGGGGAATTTCAGGTAGAAGAAATGGGAGGAAATGGAAGCACAGAAACAAAGGAAGAAATTAAGAGCCCCGAATAGTACCTATAAACCAAAGGTAACATCTACTACTAATATGTTATCTTGGAGTTAAATCACTATAGGGGTCTTATCTCATTCAGGAAGTGGTAAGAGTGCTAATTATAGAAAGAAGATTACTGGAGGAAGAAAGAGGATTATTACCTAGTGAGTAATGGATACATATTTTCCTAGGGTGGCCTTTAAAAGAATAATGTTCAACTAACAAGATAATATGGGGAAAATACCTGATTTATCCAAAAGAAGGCCCAAAAGGAAACAGAAAGGAAAAGAACAGATGGGATAAGTAGAAAATAAACAGCAGTATGGGAAGACTTAAACACAAATACGTCACTAATTAAATGAAAATGTACTAAATACTAATTTAAAAACCAAGATTATTAGTCTGCATTTTCAAAACCGATGTTTTGCGGTGAGACACAGGGACTGAGAGAGGCACCCAGGGCCACCCAAGAGCCCAGCTGCGAGCACGGGGTGGGAAGCACACCAGACAGCAGAGTGCCGCTTACGGAGGCATACTCTACATACAAGCTTCAGAGGAAGAGGTTCTCCGAAAGTGCATGTTAACATCATCCTGGGACTCAGTGAAAATGTAATTTCCCGGGCCCCACTACCAGAGCCCGTGACTCAGGAGGCCCAGGGCAGGATCTCAGACACAGCACTTGGGGCGATGGGCTCTATCTGTTCTACACATCATACCCTCACCTTCTCTTTCCATTACCGATGCAGGAGAGGACAGGTAATTGGCTCTAGCCTCCATGGGCTCATTCCTTTGTTCATTCACAGGTGAATTTGGCATATACAAGGTGCGACAAAAGTAGGCTTATAGTTGTGAGTGTGCAAAACAGAGTTTACTCTTGCATTATTATTTATTAATTATTTCCCATTCAACTGTAAACCTACTTTTGCCCCACCCTGTACTACCTACACAGTTACAAGAGTTGGGAATACAAAGGTGGACAAAATATAGTCCCTCCCCTTGTGGAGTTAATATGCTAACAGAGGAGAAAGACATTAAATAAAAGGTCATACAGTGTGAGATAGTGTTAACTGCTCTGACAAGAAACAAGAGAAGGTAACTGAGAGTGACAGGGGTATTTATTTTAGCTAAAATGATCAAGATAAACCTAAATGAAGAGGTGATGTCTGAACAAGAATCTAAAGAAAGTGGGGGAGCAGGCCACACCAGCATCTGTTCAGAGACAGAAATGAGCCTGGATCGTCTGAGGAACTGTAAGCTGACCAGCATGACTGGAGCAGACAATGCCAACACTTGCAGAAAACGAGGTTTGGGGCCCCCCTGGGGCTGGACCACACAGGGCCTTAGAGGCTGTGATAAGGACACTGGCTTTTATTCCAAGTAAAATGGAAGCCAGGGAAGGCTCCAGGCCGAGGAACGAAATGAGCTCCGTCCCTGGCGCACCACTCCACAGCGACCTTCCTCCTTTCCTACCACCCTCCTGAAACCCTCACTCACCAACCACCTCCTATGTTCCTGACCCTCACCACATACTACAGCTTCCTATAACCACAGAGTCACCAACTAGTGACAGAGATATGTTCCCTTCCTCCCTTGGACAAGTTCACCCCCAGTTTCCCTGGCTTCATCATTTGATAAGCCCATATCTGTGCTGTCCATTAGACCAGGTACTAACCACATGTAGCCAGTTAAATTTAAATGAGTTAACATTAAAAGTTCAGTTCCTTGGTCACACAAAGTGTTCCATAGCCACCTGTGGCGTATGTCTGTCATCAATTGTCACAAGAAGGTCCACTGGCCAGTGCTGATTTCTGCTGCTGGCTCATCTTCCTCTTTACAACCATCCTCTGTATTTTCATCTAGCGGTTTGCCTGGTTTTGCTTTTTGGATTGAACTTAAAAAATGTAAGGAAGAAATTTTTTTTCTAAATGAATAACCCATCCCATCTCCTCTGATTTAACATCATTATTATTATAGTATAATATACATACTAGTAGACACTACGTTCCACGCAGACAAAGGCAGAGTCTGTTTTTCTTTACCACAGTATTGCCAGCACTTGGTACAGTAAACCTTTACTAATTATATGTTTAGTGAATGAATTGGTATTTTCCATTCTTTAAGATTTTACTTATTTATTTGAGGGGGGAAGGGAAGGAGAAAAACAGGGAGAGAAACATCAATATGTGGTTGCCTCTTGTGTGCTCCTCACTGGGGACCTGGCCTGCAACTCAGGCACGTGCCCTAGCTGGGGAATTGAACTGGCAACGCTTTGATTCATAGGCCGGCACTCAACCACCGAGTCAGACCAGCCAGGACAGTATTTTCCATTCTTATTTATACTTGCATTTGTTTCTAGACATAAGCCAATCTTTCCATTTGCTCCTTCTGGCTGCCCTTCCAAACTATTTACTGTTAAAGATGTATGTAGCCATTTTTAAATGTGGAGTCAAGTACTCCCTATTATTATTCTTTTACTAAACATCTCCTGATATTTTTCCATATTAATTCCACTAATCTGAACTGGATGACCTAGAGTATACTACCTGCTGTCTACCACTCAGGATGTCCCCAAAGCAGGACCTCATTACTTCAATGTAATTCTATTCCCCAAAGCCCAAAGCGTGCCTGAAAAAATCCCCGTGCTGACCCATGTTTTACTACTCAAGGGTCAACATAGCTGACCCATGTTTTACTACTCAAGACCAAACACACCAGTTCCTCAAAATCACCTTGAACAAGAGACCTCGCCAGGTACTGTGACTAAGTCTACCCAGCAGCCCTCATCTTGCCTTCCTATCAAACCCAGACCTGTGGAAAAACTCCAAGCTGTTGGTTACATCTGAATGAACACCTTGACCTCAATGAATTAAAGTCCCTACAATGAAAGAGTACTTCTTTCCCCCCTTGAGAGGTGCCTAACCCAAGGAGGTGCTAAACTATTTCTTGAATGAAAATGAAAATGCTGAGAGAGAAAGAGAGAGGGAGGAAGCTCCCTGGGCTCTTAGGGACCTCCTTTTACTGGACTGAAGAACATGAGGATCAGGTCACTAATGAATGGGACTTTGTTAGGCTGGGGAGTTTCAGAAGAAAACCAAAACGTTCACATAAAACCTGAAAAATGAGACATTTCAGGGAAGAGGGAAGAAATGCTTCCTTACCTTGGACATGGCTTTAAGAACTTAAGAATTTATGACAGGTTCTCTGTCTTCTTCCTTCAGGTTCCTCTCTGGCAGGAGGCCAGAGTCTGGAGAAGACAGAGCTGAGGGGAGAAAGAAACCCTACATCACCAGCCTAGAAACCTCCCTGTCCTCCTCCTCCCACCACAGACATAGAGGTATCATTGGATCTGTCCCTCCCTCCTAAATTTACAGTTCTTTTTCCCGTGTGCTTTAAAGCTCAAGAGCCCAATATAAACTTTCTCTGCGTACACATTAACTCATCTCTGATAAACAGTGTCAACGGTGCAGAATGGCACTACCAAGTAAAGATCACCCCCCCAACCTTCATACATGAAATCATTCAAGGCTTCACGGTAATAAGCAATTGAGCCCAACAGGAATCCAGGTCCCACTTTCCATCTTTCCACCGGATGCTGATGTTGAAAGGAAAAATGTCTACAAAGGTGAGAGATATGCTACAGAGTGACCGCCTCTGAGGAAGCATCTTCCCACAGAGCAGACATTAGAGGGGTCATGTGATCTGGAGGGCACTGGACCGGAGTCAGGACGCAGAGCTTTTGGTCGTGGCTTACGACTAACTGCACCTGCAAACCAATCTCTACTTTTCTGGCCAATTCCTCGTGAGAAGCAGGGGTCAGGGACTACACATGAACAGTCACTGAAACCCTTTAATAGTGCCCACTAACCTGCAGCCTACTTACTGTAAAAATCACTAACTTTGGGGATCATAATGCCTCGAACACCTGATCCACCACCACTCACTAGCTCTGCAACCTCCCTGGAGTTTCCAAACACTCCGAGCCTGTTTTCCCATCATCAGAAAAATGTCAGCTGTCAGCACGACCTGGAGATGATCCACATACAGCACTGAGCACAGTGCCTAGGCATCCTTTGTGATCGATTATCCATGTCAGTCATCACGCCATTTATTTTCAGGAACAGCACACAGTGGGTCCCACCCTTCCTGTTCCAGCAGCCTGGGCTTCTGCTGTCCAAGACTAAGGCTGGGGCTGCTCCATGTCTCCTCCTCTCCCTCCCTATCTTCTCTGCTGATGGTGCATCTCTGCCCCTTCATCTCAATGCTGTCCCCAACCCTGGGGCACCGGCGTCCCCGCACTGCACGAACCACAGGCCTTCTGCTGGCAGCTCCCCTGCAGCCCTCAGACTCGGCCCCACAAGGCCACTCTTGGCCCACTGTCACACTGATACACAGTGTCACACTAATAAAGTGTCACAGTCCGAAGGACACACTCTTACGCGGTCTCCTGTGACCATACACCCAGCCGCACAGTTGCCCACTCATTGTTACAGGCAGGGTCGCATACGTTCTTTCACAGTGACAAGGCCTCACGCTGTCGCAGACAGACACACAGACACACACACACAGTGATGCTGTCTTACACATGATCGCCCCCGGTCCCACTTTTTTCCCACGCGCGGTGACAGGCCCGTTCACTCGCCCGCCCGCCCGGGACTCCTCACCACCTCCTGCCAGCGGGTCGGCACCTCCCTCCGCGCTGCGGGCAGAGGCCGGAGGCCCAGCATCCCCGCGAGCCAGGGTAGGAATTCGACCCCGCGGTAGATGAGCGGACTCACAAAGGGGCCGCGGCGCTTGGGCGGGCGGCCAGCGCCGGCCGCGGTGGCCGCTGGGAAATGGAGTCCGGGTCGGGACACAGCGCAGAGCATTCTGGGACTGCTCGCCTGGGGCGCCGCCTTGGTCCCGCCGCCTTCCTTTTCCAGAGTTTTCTGCGGCGTTACTCTACCCACGGGATGTACCACGTGACCCAGTCTTCTCGAGCCCCGCCTTCCCACTGAGGCCCGCCCAGGCCTAGGCGCCGGCTGGGACTGCGCAGGTGCAGCTGTGCCCCTGGATGTCCCGGCGCCCAGCACGCGCCCGGGCGGCGCGGCTACCGGGGCAGTGGGCGAGCCCGCGAGGAAAGGGTCCGCGGAGGCTGTGCGACTGTTTAAGACCTCAGGTTGTCCTGGATTTCCTTCTTTCCTTTTTCTGTTTCTTGACTTTCTTCCGTGTCTTCATAGCTATTTACTGAGCGCCTGTTTGCCCGGCACTGTCGTAGGCGCTGAAGGCACATCTGTGCGCAAGCAAAAATACCCCAATTCTAATGTGGGAGAAATTCAATAAGAGACAAAAAAAGGATGCTGAGGTCTGTTCGGAAGTGATACGTGTTACAAGGAAAAATATAGCGGAGTTTATGGCTCATTCTTTTAGTTCATCATTCTTTTGATTATACCCTCTTATTCCTAATGAACCTATGTCTTTGAAAATATTTTATAAACTCCTATCGTTAGTTCAATCTCCCATTCATGTCTCAGCTTTTCCGAAATTGGGTTGTACACTTAAGTGCTTCAAGATAACTTGTCCTGCCAAAGTCACCAATGACAAAAAGCATTACATAATCTGGGAATTTTTTAAAAGATTTTTATTTATTTAGCTATTTTTAGAGAGAGGGGAAGGAGAAAGGGAGAGAAACATCCATGTGTGGTTGCCTCTCACAGGCACCCTACTGGGGCCCTGAACTGCAACCCAGGAATGTGCCCAGACTGGGAATCAAACCAGCCACCCTGTGGCTCGCAGGCAGTCACTCAATCTACTGAGCCACACCAGCCAGAACTGATCTGGGAATTTTTATGTGGAGGGAGTAAAAAATGTAATTAAAAGCACTGTTTACAGTAATGTTGAGATAAACAACATGGCTACAGGTAGAAGAATGATTAAATAAGTAATCTATCCGTTTGAAAACTATATGATTTATAAAAAGAAAAATTGATGATGAAGCACTATGTGAAAATATATCTTAGGCTTGTTTTTTTTTAAGTAGGAACAAAACTTTCAATTGCATTAAGATTCAATATTAGAAAACTGTTCCTATGTATAAAAAGTTAAAGGAACACAAGCCACAAAATTGGTAGTTGGTTTTGTGTTTGATGAAATTCTGTTTATCTTCTCCCTTGCTTTTTCCAAACCATATAGACAAATTTTATGTAAGCTGGGACATACTAGTAGACTGCCAGGTTTTTGAAGCCTTTTCCATATTTCACAAATAAATGAGGATTGGGCCTGAAGATTTGTAGCATAATTTTTCATTTTCAACCATTATTGCTCTTAAGTTTCTCCTGGCAGAGCCCTCTACAAAGCTTGGTAATAGGGTGAATCAGAACTTAACTTTGATCTACATAAAACCATATTTATCAATTTCAATGTGGCAGCAAGCAGATGTCTGCCACTGTATCTAAATTTAATGTAATAATTAATCTTGAGCAGTAGAGATTAGAATGTGGAATCCTGAGAGCCAGACCCATTTATTTTGCCTTCAGTAGGCACAATGAAGATGCAATACATTTATTATTTTTTCATGACTTAGTATGGAGCAATTTTAAGCCTATGGTCTCTCCTTAATCAATATTTGTAAATAAGTTTGAGGTCAAAGTTTTGTTTGGGGTTGGGGTGGGGGAGGAATGTCTAATGGCTCCAGCACGTTTTGTTCAAAGACTAGTCTTCCTCTATTATATTGCTGTTGTACCTTCGTCAAAAATCAGTTCAGATAGCTGACAAGAACTTGTATCTAGAATATGTAAAGAACACAAAGTGACTAATAAAAACACAAATAACAGTATTAAAAATGGGCAAAGGATTCGAATGGATAGTTCTCCAAAGAAGATATACAAATTAAAAGGTGCTCAACATTATTAGTCCTCAATTTTGACTTATCTGAAACTAACATTTCCTAATTCAAGGTTTTAGTTTAGACTTTTCCCCTAAAATGACACTCCATATTTCTACCTGTACGTCTAACAGACATTTCAATCTGTCACGTTCCAAACCAAACACCCAATCTTACCTCCCCAAATGTGCTCCTTTCCAGGTCTTCTTATCTCACTGCTGTTACTGTTCTGATTATTCAGCTCAGAAACCCCTGGAGTTATCCTCGACTACTGCTCTTTGTCGTGCTACTCCACCCAATCAGCAAATCCTGTCAGCTCCACTTTAAAATATATACAGAATTGTGGGGTCGAGCTGGACAATGGCTCTTCCAACACACCTAATGGAAGGCTGGCCTGAGAGTCCCCAGGCCAGAAGGAAAATGTATTGCTTTGGAAATAGATTGTTAATTCCCCCCTTAACTCCTTTTGGGAGTGCCTTCTTGTCATGTGCCTGCCTATTGACCTTTTTCTTTCTACACGTACACACTGAAGTAATGTGGTTTAGAGTCATGCAGGACCGTGCCCCCTTTGTCTGGGACCTGTTAAAACAAGTCTTGGACTCAGGGAAGTGCGGTCCACTGGTGCCTCCTGTGAATAATAAAGCCTATGTGTACTCCACCCAGCCTTCCTTGTGGGTTTTTCTTCTTATCCAAACGGGCAGTCGAAATCCCCCAGCTCAACCTCCTGCGTTACAAGAATCCAACCCCTTTTCACCACCAACTCTGCCACCATCCACTTCCTAGTTAGACTTGAAGTAGACATTCACTGGTAGAGGTAGATCACTGGCTCAGAGCCATGGTTACTTCTGGGAAATGTAGTCGAGTCCCATAGGTCAGGATAAGCAAAGAAGTCAGCCCAGTTTATGGGCCTGAGATCCAAGTCCAGTCTGGTCATACTGTTGGACCTCAAGTTCCTCACCTTCAGCCTCACTGTGCCATGCTTTGTGGTCCTGCTCAAATCTGTTCCCAGTCAGGCCTGATGCACTGCCTACAGGACTGACCAGAAATTCTGATGTTAATTCCATCCCTTGTAGTTATTTCTTGAAAATGTGTACCCCAGCACAGGCCTGGAATGGTCCAGTGATCTCCTGTGGGCACCATTGTATGCTATCTCGTCCAGGTCCTAGCCCAGAGTCTAGAGTCTCTTTGTTTGGCTGTTTCCATGGGGCTTCGTAGCCTCTGTGACATCATGTCTTCTGTTTCTTCTGCTCTGGAGTTGAATCTCTTTCCCACAGTACCATGCTGCCTGTTCTGTCTCTTGAGATACTTTCTCGAAGACCCCACACTGGTTCATCTGCCACTCAAACCAGAAGCAGCATTTCCTCCACCCATAAGTACTAAGGCCTTGTAGCCACTCTCTGCCCCACAAATTCCAGTCACTTCAGTTTCCCCAAATTGTGTTGCATCAACCAAGGAAATCAGTGCTCTGCCTTGGTTCCTTCTCTCTGCTCTCAGGTCTTGAATATGCCTTCAGAGAGAAAGCCACTGCGACCCCAGGTGCCTTTATTTCCCATCTTGCACTACCAATTGTCCAAAGTCTGAACACTGGTTTCTTACACATTATCTAGTTTTTTTGTTCAGAGCCGGCCAGCAAGTTTAGTACAATTACACCATTGTAGTTGGAGAAAAAAAATCCTCCCTGATGTTGTTTAAGCATTTCCCTTTTTGGCACAAGATGATATAACTCATACTCAAATTGTTTCCAAGGGGAAATGGTCTGTTTCCACATTGTCTGGATGTGGCTCTAGAATAAACTGTACCGACAGGAAAGGTTTCCTCATTCAGAGGCATAATAAGGCCTGAACAGCATCCAGGACCGGGACTCCTAACTATAGGGGGCCACGCTGCCTCAAAATGTGTGAAGCCCAAGGGCTCCCACACCTCCATACACAGAAGTTGACTGCCGGTGCCAGTAGGAAACTGGGCCTAGATGTCGTCTCATTTAGAACATTTTTACCGGTTTTGCATTCTCATTCACAATCTATATTTATTTCAACGTAAATATAAATTTTTAAACTAGTTATCAGATAAACTCACGGGCTTCTCCCTCACCCCGCACCAACCCATCTGGTACACTGGCTGCTCCACGAAAATGGTGATTTACTAGATGAGACAATTTTTTTCACACATTCTTTTACTCACACATTGTTTGTGACTGAGTTCCTGAGTCGCTGAATGGTTCCGATCGTGGACGAAAAAGGGGACCACTAATAAAACTGACAAGCTCAGGATGGGCCTCCACGGGGGCCTTACAAACTCGAGAGATCGAAAGTAACCACGTTATGGTCTGGAATAACTGATGACACAATCAACGACTGGGTCAGAACCAAACACGACATACACCATCACAAGAACCACCGCACACGCAGTCAAGGCCACTGACACAAGCGCAACCAGAGGGCATTGCATGCAGAGAACACATCCCACACACACATACTTTCACACCCCAACTCTCGTTAACAAAACTCTCCCTCGTCCCCAGACAGCACCCAGGAACACAAGCATTCACTTTCAGGTCCCGCCCACTGCAAAACATCGCGAGATCCACCCTTACCGCTGGGCTACAGCCTTTACACAGAGACTACGTTTCCCAGAAGACGCTGCGACGCGGGGCCAATCGTGATACAGCACCGGCGCGGCTTTGTGCGTCCGCGCCATCTTCCGGCTTCAAGCGGCGGGTCCGCCGGTACTAAGGTGGAAGCTCAGCCGGGGCTGAGGGGGAGTGCAGCCTCGGTAGCACCTGGACCCGAGGAGGCGGCAGGTGAGGAGCTCCGGAGGTTTCCGGGCCCTCTGGGGATGTTGCGAGAACGGGCGCCGCGGCCGGGCGGGTTTCGGGCCTGGGAAGAACCGGAATGTTTCGCTGTAGCATCTGTCTGTGGGTTCCCGTGCTCTGGACTACGTTTCCCATCGGCCCCGGCTGGCGCTCCCTTTTGGCGTCACGGCCCATTACCGGGGTCTGTGGACCCCTTAGGTGGGTGCGGAGAGGTCCCAACCCCGTGAAAATGTTTGAGGTCTTTTGCGTTCCGTTTTACTAATCGTTTTTTAAAAAAAAGAATTCTTGGGAGGAAGTCTTGTTTCACAAGATTCAAAGAGTTGGAAGATCCCAAAAGGTTTAGAAGCAGAGACATATACTTGGGAATATTTTAGGTGATTATGTTCAAAATCTGTGGGGAAAGGGTTGAGGAAATCCTGGGGCACGCATGTCGTAAAATGTTATAGATAATGCTAAAACAGTGGTCGTAGGAGGGAAGAGTCGTAACACGACATCAAGGAACATTTATAAAGATCTCATTCACACGTTGTTTACAATTAAATATTTATTAAAAAATAAGTATTTCACACGTGTCGGGCACTGTCCCAAACTCCTCTATAAACAGCTCAAGAAGTGGTTAAATGACGTCACTTTTAACACTTGGACGTTTTCTATTCCAATTTTTAGGGTGGTTTATTTTTTCCTTTTTTTTTTTTTTTTTGCCCATGTGTCCCAAGGTGGGTGGGTTTAATTTCTTTTTCTGAAAATCCTGATGTTGTACAAAGGTCCAGTTCTGAATGTCATTTATTCGTCAGTTGATGTCCTTCTGGCTGGGCTCACATTGATTCAACCACTCACCTACTTGTGAGCTGTTATGAACTAATTTTTGGTTCTGTCTTCCAGACAGAATATTTTGTCTGTGCAGCTTCACACACTGTTATCTCTGTGCAGTGGCCTGTTTACATAGGACCTACTCCCTCTAATTTACCCTCTGTATCCACATCCCATCTGTTGACTCAAGGCAGGGTTCACAAAATGGTGCCCACCAAGCCTTAAGTAGGGCCGTGGGCCTCTTTGTGAATTTGGAAGTTGAGAATGCTGGGGAGACTTCTGAAGGTGTTACATTGTGGGTGTGAGAGAGTTACGTGGTCAGGTTCTGGAAAGACTTTATTCTTGGAGGGGTTGATTTGAGTCTGGCCTCAGGACAGCCTTCCTTTTTTTCCTTTTTCTTTTAATTAAAAAAAAATTGACTTGAAGAGAGAGAGAAATATCGATTTGTTGTTCCACTTATTTATGCATTCATTGCTTGATTTTTTAAAATATATTTTATTGATTATGCTATTACAGTTGTCCCATTTCTCCCCCTTCATTCCCCTCCACCCTGCACACTCCCTCCCACCCACATTCTCCCCCTTTAGTTCATGTCCATGTGTCATAAGTTCTTTCGCTTTTACATTTCCCATACTATTCTTGCCCTCCCCCTGTCTGTTTTTTACCTACCATCTGTGCTACTTATTCTCTGTACCTTTTCCCCCTCTTCCCTCCTCCCACTCCCCTGTTGCTGTCCCTTCATTTCTGTGGTTCTGTTCCTGTTTTAGTTGTTTGCTCAGTTTGTTTCTGTTTTAGGTGTGGTGGTTAATAATTTGTGAGTTTGCTGTCATTTTACTATACATGTTTTTTATCTTCTTTTTCTTAGGTAAGTCCCTTTAACATTTCGTATAATAAGGGCTTGGTAATGATGAACTCTTTGAACTTGACCTTATCTGAGAAGCGCTTTATCTGCCCTTCCATTCTAAATGAAAGTTTTGCTGGATAGAGTAATCTTGCATGTAGGTCTTTGGATTTCATGACTTGGAATACCTCTTTCCACCCCTTCTTGCCTGTAAGGTCTCTTTTGAGAAATCTGCCGACAGTCTGATGGGGACTCCTTTGTAGGTAACTGTCCCCTTATCTCTTGCTACTTTTAGGATTTTTTCCTTCATTTTTATCTTGGCTAATGTAATTATGATGTGCCTTGGTGTGTTCCTTCTTGGGTCCAAGTTCTTTGGGACTCTCTGAGCTTCCTGGACTTCCCGGAAGTCTATTTCCTTTGCCAAACTGGGGAAGTTCTCCTTTATTATTTATTCAAATAAGTTTTCCACTCGTGGCTGTTCCTCTTCCCCTTCTGGTACCCCTATAATTCAGATGTTGGAACGTTTAAAGATGTTCTGGAGGTTCCTAAGCCTCTCCTCATTTTTTTGAATTCTCATTTCATCATTCTTTTCTGTTTGGTTGTTTCTTCCTTCTGGTTCACTCCATTGATTTGAGTCCCAGTTTCCTTCCCATCACTATTGGTTTCCTGTGCATTTTCCTTTGTTTCACTTAGTGTAGCCTTCATTTTTTCATCTAATTTGTGACCAGATTCAACCAGTTCTGTGAGCATCCTGATCACCAGTGCTTTGAACTGTGTATCTGATAGGTTGGTTATCTCTTGGTCACTTAGTCGTATTATTTCTGGAGCTTTGATCTGTTCTTATGTTTGAACCACAATGTTTTGGTCTTGTCGCACCTTTTACATAGTCAGGGGCAGAGCCTTAGATGTTCACCAGGGCAGGGCAACCCAGTCCCTGCGTTGTGATGCTGCATGTGGGGACGTGGCCCAAGAGGGAACAGTGATGCTTGCTTTGTTGTCTGTTGGACCTCAGTTCCTTCTGCCACTTCCCTTAAGCAAACGGCCTTTCTGGTGCTGATTCCCATGTGGGTGGGCTTGTGTGCATTCTAGGACCCTGTGGGTTTCTCCAACGAATTCTCCTGTGAGTCTGGGAGTCTCTCCCTGTCCCTCAACCCTCCACATGTTTTCAACTGGTGTTCTGAGGCTTTATTCGTGGCGCTGGGACCCTGGGTTGCTAACTCTGTCTCTCTCCCCAGTTATCTGCTTGTGAATGTGGGACCTCTATCAGGTCAGCCAGCCGCCTTGTGCGCAGTGCCTTGCTTCACAATTGCCGCCTCACTGGGTCTGCCCGTTGCCACCCCGCGCCCGGGGTCGGCCAGCTGCCACCTGCATGCCCAGGGTCTGCCCTCTGCTATCTTGTGCGCTTGGGGTGCCTTGTACGCTCAGTGTCACCACTTCTTATGCTGCCACCCCTCTCCACTCGCTTGGCTACCGACTCCACCCCTCTTACCGGCCTGGATGAATGTCTGTTTCAGCTTCTTGGCTGTCCAACTTCCATACTGTTCAATTTTCTGTCAGTTCTGGTTGTTATTTTGTTTCTAAATTTTTGTTGTCCTTATTTTGGTTGTGGGAGGAGGCACAGTGTGTCTACCTACACCTCCATCTTGGCCGGAAGTCTCCCATTGGTCGATTCTTATATGTTCTCTGACTGGGGATCAAATCCACAATCTTGGTGTATCAGGGCAACACTCTCCCCGACACCATGTCGTCTCTGTCACTGGACCAGGTCTAAGTAGCCCCATCTCAGATTTCCATCAGTGACGAGGTGGAATTCTCTGGGTATTTAGGGGAAATGGGAAAGGCTATTGGTTCCCTGTTTGTCCTTGCAGCAGCTAAAGCTGAGTTTTTCAAAATTGGGTGAGAGCCACAGTTTGTCCCAACTCCCTCTAATTTGTTGGTAGGTGGGTGTTCAGGGGATGGGGACTTGTAACTGTGGCATTCTAGGGGGTGCAAGGCAAACCTGGTCTCTCATGTTTGCTGTTTTTTTCCCCCAGTTCTGCCATCTCAGGACTCTGCTCTTCCCCAAGAGAGGAGCCTGGAGGAGGCCTCATCAGCCCATGAAATTCTGAAAGTCATGTCCATCGTGAGTTTTAAGATCATGTAAATACTTGCTTTCCTTATCCTGAACCTTCCTTCACACGGACTTTCCATCCAAGAATCTGGTTCTCCGAGTTTCCCATTTTCAGGAGTAAGAGGGCCGGGCAGCTAGTATCTTCTTCTATTGCCCTCTTCTATAGAAAAACATTTGTTTGGTTTTTTTTGTTTTTGGGTTTTTTTTTTAATTCCATAAAAATCTGAAATATTAGGTGTTACATGGAGAATTCAGTACATGCCAAGGACAGAGTAACTCACAGTTGGGAAAACTCCAATTAGCTGGATTTTTATTTTCATCCCAGATCTGTGTACCAGAGCTTTGGTTGTAGTAAAAAGGGACATTCAAGAACACCTGTTCATGCCCTTGTTCTCCTGCCATCTGCTCACAGCAGAGGCCTCCAGCCCCAGTTGTCTTTTCCACCAGCACATCCCACTCCTACAGAGACTTCCTGCATCACCTCTCATCCCCCAGAGAGACACTTCTGTGATGTACGCGCGTAACACACCTGCCTGTCATTGCAGGGGTCAGACTTGTTCAGGGATGTGGCCGTCGTCTTCTCCCGAGAAGAATGGGAGCGGCTGACGCCTGCCCAGAGAGATCTGTACAGAGACGTCATGTTGGAGATCTACAGCGTCCTGCTCTCACTGGGTAAGGGCTCCTGCTCTGGGACTTTGCGGGTTACCGTTGGGCAAGGCTGTTCCTTCCTTGTCAGTTTCGGGCCACCCTTTGAGTGGTTAAAGGGCAGCTCCGTGGGCTGAAGCTATATTGTCCCCAGCCCTGAAGTGACTGTCACATCTTCCCCTGTCCCTTCCTGCAGTGGCCTCTCGTTCTCGATAACCAGGCCCTAGACCCAAATTCTGGGCTCTGCATCATAAACGGTGTCACATTCTTTCTTGGGTCCAGATCTTGCCATTTCCAAACCTGATGTGATCTCCTTCCTGGAGCAAGGCAAGGAGCCCTGGAGGGTGGAGGAGGCAGCGACCGGAGGCCTGTGCCCAGGTGAGTGAGGCACGGCGGGGAGGAGAGAGGCCACAACAGAAAACCGTCCAGCTGGTCAGCGAGGAAGCAGGCCCTTGGAGGTAGACAGTGTTTCCTCCAAGAACTCAGCGGTCAGGTCCAAGTTGTCATCTCTGGCATTTTGTCAGCAGCATTAGACAAATGTGGTTTCCTTCCTGAAGCATTTGTGTATTTAGGTCATCAGTAGCTCTCTCATCACTTTGCTCGTTAAACGGCCTTCATCCTCCTCCCTTGGATCTTCTTACCTTCCCTAGATGTCGGGCTCAGATGGCGGCCTCCTCCTTCCTGTGTGTTCTCACTCCTCCGGACCCTTTCTGTTACCGTGCTGAACACCGTCCATGCTTGGCCTGTCCAGTGTGGTGCCACTGTATGGTCATTGAAACTTATTTATTTGTTTATTTTTAAAGATTGTATTGATTTATTTTTAGAGAGAGGGGAAAGGAGTGAGAAAAAGAGAGAGAAACATCAGTGTGTCATTGCCTCTCACACTTCCCGCACTGGGGACCTGGCCCACAACTCCAGGCATGTTCCCTGACTGGGAATTGAACTGGCCCCTTGGTTCACAGGCCAGCGCTCAATACACTGAGCCACACCAGCCAGGGCTGAAATTTAAATTAATTACAATGAGATACATTTAAAACTTCAGTACCTCAGTTGCAACTACCATATTTCAAATGTTCAGGAGCCACTTTCTGGCTCATGGCCAGTGTATTGGACAACACAGATACATAACATCTCTATCACTGCAAAAAGTTCTGGCAGAGAACACAAATGGTCACCTTCACCTTTGTGTCTCCCTCACACTCCGGTGGCTAATGTCCAGCTGCCTTCTGATTGTGTCCCCCAGGGTGTTCACCAAGCGCGCCAAAGGGAACAAGTCCCAAAAGGAGTCTTGGATCCACCCGGACAAGTCTACTCTTCCCCATTCTGCATTTCGGTAACAGGGCACTTGATTGTTTAGCCTGCTCAGGTCAAAAACTCTTGATGCACCCTGGCCGGGTGGCTCAGTTGATTGAAGCATCTTCTGGTACACCAGAAGGTTGCGGGTTTGATCCCTGGTCAGGGCTCATACAGGAGGCAACCGGTTGATGTTTTTTTTTTCTCTCTCTCTCCCTTCCTCACTCTCTAAAATCAATAAGCATGCCCTCAGGTAAGGGTTAAAAAAATAACTCCTGATGCATCCTTGTCTTTTCTCTCCTACACAGTTGTTTAGTCTGTCAGCAAATCCTGTTCTTTCTACTTCCAAATATACCCAGAATTCAAGCACTCGTAACCAGCACCCCTGCCACCACCCCCACCATCTGCTTTGGCGGGGACTGTTGCGGTATCCCGCTCCCATCCCTCTGCTCCCACTCTGGTCTCTTCAGTGAGGGTGAATGACATCCCTGCTTAGAACCTACCAAAGACTTTGCATCTCACTCAAGAGAATCTCCAGAATCCATAGCATGGCCTAGAAGGCTCTGTCTGTGCTGTCCAGTAGAGTACCCACCAGTCACATGTGCTATTCAGATTTTTATTTTAACTAAAATTAAGTAAAATGTACCCCAGCTGGGTAGATGAGTTGGTTAGAGAGTCGTCCCAATATGCCAAGGTTGTGGGTTCGATCCCTGGTCAGGGCACGTACAAGAGTCAACCAATGAATGCATGAATAAGTGGAAGAACAAATAGATGTTTCTCTCTCTTGCCTCCCCTTCCCTCTCTCCCTTTTTTCTCTGAAAATACTACATCAAAATTCAGAGTCCTTCATTCTCTGAAATCAATACATCAAAATTTTAAAAATAAAATTGAGTCAAATATAAAATTCTGCAGTGGCACCGGCCGCATCTCAGACACGTAGTAGCTGTGCATAGCTAGCGGATGCTGTGTTGGACCGTGCAGAATGGAACGTTTTCAGTGTCAGAGAAAGTTCTGTTGGACTGTGTTGCTCTTTGGTCTCTTCCCCTCTGACTTCCTCTCTTGTCACGCTCCCCATCGCTCATTTGTTACAGCTGCACAAGCCTCTTTCCTGGCCCATTCACATAGGGGTTGGCAAGTGTTTTCTTCCAAGGGCCAGACACTAACTCTTTCAAGCTGGCGGGCCATGTGGTCTGTGTCACAGCTCCTCACCTCTGCTGTGGTAGCTTGTACCCTGGCTTTGACACAGCTGGCACATTTCTGCCTTGGCCTCTGTTTTTGCTGTCCCCTCTGCCCAGGGTGCTTCTGCTCGGGAAGGAGCATTTCTCAGCCTCAGCAAGGTTGACATTTCCTGCAGGAGTGTTCTTTACCGCAAGGGGGCCAACCTGTGCACGGTGGGGTGGTGAGCAGCCTCCCTGGCCTCCACACACTACAGGCCAGTAGAGCCCTGCCCTCGCTTGTGACCACCAAAAACATCTCCAGATATTGCCAAGTGCCCCAGCAGGGGTAAGAGCTTCCGTGATTGAAAGCCAAAGTCACAATGTAAGGTAACACCAAAAACATATCTATAAACAGTTTTCACAACATACAACATATTGTAAGAGAATTTCGAATGGAGGACAAAGAACTAAGGCTCCCAGGCATGGCGGGTTCTTCTGCAAGGAAGTCGGGGAGGGGCAGTCTTACGGACCAAGCCCTTTACCTGTGGGGTCTTGACACTCTCTGTAGGAATGTCAAGATTGGCTTAACTTTCTAGGACACCGGGGAACTGGAGAATTGCTTCATGTGAGGGTAAAACGACAAATGTTTGGTGACCCGAAGTGTCAGAAGTGAAGAGTGGCATTGAGAGGCTCCCCAAAAGGACCCCCGTACCTGTTAAGTGGTCACTCTTCATTCTCCCCCGCACCCCCAGCCCCTGACACCCACTAATCTGTCTGTATCTATAGATTTACTTACTCTGGAGATTTTACATAAGTGGAACCGTCCACTATGTGGCCTTTTGCGTCTGGTTTCTTTTTACCCAGCATAATGTGCTTATAGTTTATCCACATTGTAGCATGTGATAGGGTTTCCTTCCATTTTAAGGCTGTTTATATACGCCACAATTTTTATCCATTCATCTGTTGACAGACTGTGGGGCTCTTTCCTGAATAATATTGCACTGAACATAGGTGTGCAGACATCTCTCATAGAGGCCACTTTCACTTCTTTGGGCTAAGTACCTAGAAGTGGAATTGCTGGGTCGTATGGTAGTTCTAGATTTAGTTTTTTTAGGAACATGCATCCTGCTCTCCACCTTGACTGCACCATTTCACCAACAGCGCATAAGGGCTCCAATTTCTCCACATCCTTGTCAGCAGTGGTTATTTTCTGTTCTGGGTTTTTTGTTTTTTGTTTTTTTTTCCCAATAGTGGCCATGCTTATGGCTGTGAGGTAGAATCTCATAGTTTTGGTATGCACTCGTCTAGTGGTTGGTGATGTTGAGCATCTTTTTGTATGCTTGTTGACCATTTATGTATCTTTTTTTTGGAAAATGTCCATTCAAGTCCTTTGCCCATATTTTTAATCAGGATGGGTTTTTGTTGTTGAGTTGTAGGAGTTCTTTATATAGTCTGGGTATTAACCTGTTATCAGATACATGATTTGGAAATATTTTCTTCCATTCTGTAGGTTGTGTTCTTACTCTGTTGTTTCCTTTGATGCCTGGTTGTTTTCAAGTTTAATGTAGTTCCATTTGTCTCTTTTTGCTTATGGTGCAATATCCAAGAAAGTACTGCCAAATGCAATGTCATAAACTGTCCCCCCATGTTTTCTTCTAGGAGATTGATAGTTTTGGTTCTTTGTTTCAGTCCTCCATCCATTTTTAGTTAATGTTTATATTTGTTGTGAGGTAGGAGTCCTTTCTTCTTGGGCATGTGGATATCCAGTTTCCTCAGCATCATTTGTGGAAAAGCAGTACTGTCGTCCTTTCCTCATTGTATGGACTTGGACCCTTGTCAAAGATCATCTAACCACATGCATGAGGGTTTATTTCTGGGCTGTCTATTTTTGTTCCATTAGTTGACATGTCTGCCTTTGTGCCGGTATCACACTGTTTTAATTACTGTTGCTTCGTCACCTGTTTTTTAATTGATTTTTTTTTTTTTAGGGAGAGAGGGGAAACATTGATTTATTCTTCTGTCCACACATTCACTGATTGATTCTTGTATGTGCACTGACCAGGGATTAAACCCACTCACTACCTTGGTCGACACTCTAACCAACTGAGCCACCAGCCAGGACTATCTGATATTCTTTTTTTTTTTAAGATTTATTTATTTATTTTTAGAGAGAAGGGAAGGAGGGAGAAAGAAAGGGAGTGAAACTTCAATGTGTGGTTGCCTCTCACACCCCCCTGCTGGGGACATGGCCCACAACCCAGGCATGTGCCCTGACTGACTGGGAATCAAACTGGTGACCCTTTGCTTCAAAGTCCTATGCTCACTCCACTGAGCCACACCAGCCAGGGCTGATATTCTTTATGAGCACCTTTGCTTCCTGCCCCTCACACTGAGGGTTGTTTTACCCTCACACTGTAACTATTTCTTTATTAGCCAAGTGGGTGGGTTCCTATTATTTCAATAAAATGGGCTGCTGCAGCTGAAGTCACGTACCAGGTGGAATCAGGATCCATTACGCCATTCAACTTCTTGCAGTTTGAGCAGCAAAGAGAATTTTGGAAGATGCTACCCCCATTAAATTGGGGTCTGATTCTCTAAACAAGGAAGCAGACCCTTCTTTTTCCCAGATCACCTTTAGGCAGTGGAAAGGACCAGGAGAGACAGGTTCTGTTGACACCACCTCCATCCTTGGTGTTCAGCTGAAGTTCAGAGATAGAAGGCATCCCAGCAGAAGACTGTCGCTGGGTTTTTACACTTCCAGGGGACATGTGATCATAGGTCCCCACGTAGCACCACAGCCCCCAGCAAACAGATACACCACTGCGTTCCTTTGGCCAGAGGAAGATCCAGCCACCTTTGCTGTCATTTCTTAAAATCCACTTTATCGAGGTTATCATTTATATTCAGTGAATGTAATATTGAATATTTTAAGTGTGATATTTTAAAGTTGAAAGTTTATATTTAAAGCTTAAAATACTACTTAAAATTTAGAATGTAATATTTTGATGAGTCTGGACAAATGTATGCATATAACCACCACCACAATTGAGATAGAGGATATGGCTCTTATAATGGCTCCTATAACCTCCTCCTTCATGACCTCACCCATTTATGGTATTTCCTCTTTCTTTACACTCTGTTTTCTAATTGCTTAGCCACATTCAGGAGCCCATAGGTATTATCCTTAGTCTAAATTTTAAAATTTTTACTATACAACTTCCTTTTTCTGGAAAAGGAAAAAACTAATACATTCTTGCTGTTTTGTTCCTTTCCAGTCTTGGAGTCGAGGTATGATACTCAGGTCTTATCTCTGAAGCAGCCCGTTCGTGAAGCGCTGTCACCCGGGTGCGAGAGAACGGAAAGCCTTACAAGTCATGCTCCCGAATACTCGGGTTCCCAAGATGACTGGGAATGCAGAACTCAGTGTGACAGACAGCAGGGGAGTCCAGATGGACATCTGAGTCAAATGGTAATCAATCATGAGGAAATGCCCACTTTCGACCCACAAGCATCCCTTACTTTTTATCAGAAAATCCATCCTGGAAACAAATCCTATGCATATAATGATGGCAGAGAAGACTTCTGGCCAGAGGACTTCCTTATTAACCATCAGGGAATTCACGCTAATGAGAAACCCTATAAATGTAAGGAGTGTGGGAAGGCCTTTAAATATGGTTCTCGACTAATTCAACATGAGAATATTCATTCTGGTAAGAAACCCTATGAGTGTAAGGAATGTGGGAAGGCCTTCAATTCGGCTTCAAATTTCATACAACACCAGAGAGTCCATACTGGTGAGAAACCTTATGAATGTAAGGACTGTGCCAAGGCCTTCAGTCGGAGCTCCCAGTTGATTGAACATCAAAGAATTCATACGGGGGAGAAACCCTATCAATGTAAGGAATGTGGGAAGGCCTTCAATCGGATATCACATCTTAAAGTACATTATAGAATTCATACGGGCGAGAAGCCCTATGCCTGCAAGGAATGTGGGAAGACCTTTAGTCATCGGTCTCAGTTGATCCAACATCAGACTATTCATACTGGCAAGAAGCTCTATGAATGTAAGGACTGCGGGAAGGCCTTCAATCAGGGCTCAACCCTTATTCGACATCAGAGAATTCACACTGGTGAGAAGCCCTATGAATGTAAGGCCTGCGGGAAGGCCTTTAGGGTGAGCTCACAACTTAAGCAACACCAGAGAATTCACACTGGAGAGAAACCCTACCAGTGTAAGGTGTGTGGTAGGGCTTTCAAACGGGTCTCGCACCTTACTGTGCATTATAGAATCCATACGGGTGAGAAACCCTACGAATGTAAGGCGTGTGGGAAGGCCTTCAGCCACTGCTCGCAGCTCGTTCAGCATCAGCTCATTCACACTGAGGAAAAGCCCTGTGACTATAAGAAAGAGGGGAGGACTTTCCATTGTGATTCAGCTACTGTTCAGCATCAGAGAATGCAAAGCAGAGAAACACAAGTGAATATCATAAACGTAGAAAAGCCTTCCATCAGCACTTACCCCTTGTTGATCATCAGAGAAATTATGTTGGCCAGCAACCACATGAGTGGGAGCAGTGGGGAGAGCCCATTGGCTTAGGCTAATCGCAGCTTTGTCCTTTCATCTCGAGGTAAGACTTGAATGTACTGCGAGTCAGAATGCCTTCATTCAGAGCTGTCCCTTCTCCCAAGTTACAAAGTTCATACCGAAGGAAAATTTTATGGATACAAAATGTTTAGACCATGATAGTCAAAGAAGCAAGGACAGGTTGGAAAAAATGTCTCCTAACACATTCTTGATTCACCTTTTATATCTACCATGTTATAATTTAAGTAGCCAAAAGTTTTCATTTTCTTACAAAGTGAAAAGGAAAAATAACTAAAACAGCAGAATTACTCTTGGGTTAACGAGGAAATAAATCACACAGTTACCATAAACAGTGAAGAAAAGAATAAATTAGAGTCCCTGGCCAGGGAGCTTGGTTGGAGCTCCTGGTATGCCAAGGTTGCCGGTTAATCCCTGGTCAAGGCACATCCAAGAAACAACCAATAAATGTATAACTGAGGGGGACAAAAATCCATGTTTCAAAGAGACGAGAGTTTTTGTACATTCCAACAGATGTAGCTGATGCCACTCAGAGGAATTTTAAAGATTTTATGTATTTTTAGAGAGGGGAAGGGAGGAAAAGGGAGAGAAACATCAATGTGTGGTTGCCTCTCACGTGCCCCCAACTGGGGGGGCCGCCCCACAACCAAGATGTGCCCTGACTGGGAATTGAACCAGTGACCCTTTGGTTCATAGGCCAGCATTCAATCCACTGAGCCACACCAGGCAGTGCTACTCACAGGAATTTTTATGACCTTTAAATTCATGAAAAACATGAAAACCTGTAAGGTTATATTTAAATATTCTAAATGTGCTATTCAAGAAGCCAGAAAAGAGAACAGCAGACATCCAGATGATGAAAGAACAAGTCAGTACAAAATAATGAAGTAGAAAGTGGTTATCTTACAGCAATCTTAGTTTTCACATCTTCCTGACCCAAGAGTAAACTAAATTTAGCATATGGTTTCTCAATTTCCATGATGTTCGATTGTTTTGGGTTATCTTTTATAACATTGCAGAGAGAAGGGGTTGGTTGCTTACCTACCAGCCATACCCAGTTCCCCTTCTTGTTGGCAGCCCCTGTGTCTTGCCTTAGAATCTGAAGGTGTTAGGGGCTAATTTCAGCCTCCTTTGCAGCTCAGGTAGGCCACTGTGTTCCAGGGACCTGCTGGGCTTCTGGGAAAGATTTTCCTAATTCAGAAGAGACATATATTAGGAAGACTTTCCTCGTTTTCTGCTGTTAAACATTTTCCTATGAGATTGTGATGTCTGGAGTTGCTGCAGCCATTTTGGGGTCAAGAGGAGAAGACAGAAGCTGATCTGGAAACCAATTCTGAAACTGTTTCTTTGATGCCTTGTTATATAAGAAAAAGAAATCTTTATTGCTAAAGTTAATTTTAATTGGATATCTTGTAAATTCACAGCCATAAACATTCTGAATTACAATATTTCAAATTTTAGTATGATTGGTAAATGTGGCCTGGATATCAATACCTGCTTTTTAAAATTTGACATTTTTCTTTGTGGCTAAGTACAAGATTGATTTTGTTTATGTTTCTTAACATTGAAAAAGACTACATACTGTTTTTTGTTTGCTTGAATACAGGGTTCTGTTTAAGCCTGTGGATTATAATGACAAAATTCTTCATGTTCGTATATTATTTGATATATTGGATCAGAATTTCCTAAAATTGAAATTCTTGGACCAAGATTGTGAATTTCCAGAGATTTTTACTTTTTAATTTATGTTGTTTGACTGTGACTTAAGTCCTATTTATGAATCATACCTTTTATCATTATTAATATCTTATTGTGCCAGGGATAGTGATCAACAAACCAAATCTGGCTTGCTGCCTGGTTTATAAATAAAGTTTTGTTGGAACAGCCATGCTCATTTGTTTGTTGTCTACTAAGGGCAGAACGGAGTGGCTGCAAGGAAGACTGACTGGCCAGGCAGCCTGCGTTTGCTGTCTGTCACTGAAGATAAGTTTGCCACCCTGGCCAGTGCAACCCAGTTGGAGTGTCATGCTGTACACTGGAAGGTTGTGGGTTTGATTCCCAGTGAGGGCACATAGGAGAGACAACCAATGTATATTTCTCACATCAATGTTTCCCTCTCCCTCCCTTCCCTTCTCTAAAATCAATAGGCTGTCCTCAGGTGAGGATTTAAAAAAAAGTTTGCCAGTTGTGACCTAGTGTGGTCCTCTATTTTATTACCATCCTGTATAACACTAATAATAATGATTTTATCTTTGTTTAGCTGGTATGTTTTTGCTCATCCATTTATTTTCAACCCCTGTCATTTTAGTTACTTCTTTAAAAAAAAAATCACGCTGATTTTTTTACGCTTGCTTTAAAAAAAATTTACTTATTGTTTGTTGTTCAAGTACAGTTTTCTGTCTTTTACTCCCATCCCAGCCTTATGCTGATTTTTGAAAACTTAAACTGAATTTTTCTATAGGGAAATTTATATTTTTATTTAGTGTGCTAATTCTTTATTCCTTTTATTTTGCATTTATATTATCTTGGTCTTTTCTTATGTTGGCTCATTATTCCCTTTTTCTCTTGCTAAACTGGAACTTCCTACTGTGGTTGAGATGGTGATCTGCCCATTATTTATTATTATTAGGTTTTATTTTTTTGTGAAGACAGGGAGGGAGACAGAGAGGGAGAGGAACATCAGTGTGTGAAAGAAACATTAATTGGTTGCTTCTTGCACTCATCCCAAACAGGGACCTGGCCTGAAATCCAGGCATGTGCCCTGATTGGGAATCGAACTAGCAACCTTTTGGTTTGTGGGATGATGCCCAACCTACTGAGCCATACCAGGCAGGGTGATCTTCCCATTATTTTTTGGTAAGAATGAGAGCACTATTACACTTTCTCCCCTACAGTTTTCTTTGCCACTCTCTGAGACATCACCCTTGTTTTCTCTTTCCGTTCCTTCCCTTACTCAATGAAGATTTTTAGCCTAAACCTTTTATTTTTGCTTCTGTTTCATTTATTTGATGCTTCCATTACTGCCATTCCCACTCATGATTTCCATTTAAATTTAAACGTACTGAGTAACACTTATTACTAGCCACCATTTCCTTTCATTGTTTTTCCGATCTTCAGGAATAGTTTTATATCAAGTGATAATTGGTTAGACTGTTTTATTGAGTATTTATATTTATCTCAACAAATGGTATATAGCTGGTATTCTTGGAGTCCTTACATGTCAAAAAAAAGCTTCTTGTATCCTCACAAATTATACTTAAGAAAAAAGATTTTATTTATTTATCTTTAGAGGGGAAGGGAAGGAGAGAGGGAGAGAAACATCAATGTATGGTTGCCTTTCATGCGTCCCCTGCAGGGAGCCGGCCTGCAACCCCCGTATGTGCCCTGACTGGGAATCGAACTGAGATTGTCTGGTTCGCAGGCCCATGCTCAATCCACTGAGCTACACCAGCCAGGGCTACAAAGTACACTTTTGGCAGAACATTCTCATTATAGTTGTTTTCTCAATAATCTGTAGATGTCCCTTCACTGAATTCTGGTCTTCTCAAAGAACCCAAAGCTGATCTGATTCTCTTAGCTTATGTGGATGTATTTGTTTTATGTTGCTGTAACAAATTGTCAAAAACTTAGTGGCTTAAAACAGATTGCCCTGGTGAGGAACTCAGTTGGTTAGATCATTGTCCAGATATGCCAAAATTGTAGGTTTAATCCTTGGTAAAGCCACACACCAGAATCAACCAATAAATACATAAATGAGCAGAACAACAAATCAATATTTCTCTTTTAAATCAATAAACTTAAATTTTTTTTCGAGTTTCTTTCTATTCTCAGAATCTAGGAACTTAAGCTGCATAGGTTTAGTCTCACGTCCTTTTTTCTTTTTCTGGCCCAAGGAAATCATTTTCTAAATATTGCTTCCTTAGTACTTTTCAATTTTTAAATTTTATTTCTATTTACAAACTTTAATGTTTTGAATCCTCATGATTAAAAAACTTGAAGATGTAAAAAAGGCATGCAGGAACAAGTCTTCCTATCTTTTTTTCCCTTTTGTTACAGCAACAGAATACCACCTCTCTGGCTTTGATTCTCAAAGTGTGATTCAACCGTTCTGCCTACCTCACTTCTTTTAATGTCAGTAATTGTAATTCCTCAAAATAACCCTGCCATCAGGTTTATTTTTATTCTATTTTAATAATTTTTATTTTAATTTCTTTACTTGAGAGAGAGACATCAATTTGTTGTTCCACTTTCTACACATTTATTGATTGATTCTTGTATGTGCCAGGGATTGAACCCACAACCTTGGTGTATTGGAACAAGGCTCCAACCAACTGAACACCTGGCCAGGGCAGATTATTTTCTTTAGGAGAAAAAAAAAAGAATAAAACATGTAGAAAGTTAATATCAATCATTATTCAATATCAGAGAATTCATACTGGAGAAAAGTCCTAGGAATTTAAGGATTTTGGAAAGACCTTCAGAAGGACCCGTAATGTACTATCAAAGAATTCATATTGGTGAGAAGCCATGTACATATAACGGGCAGGAGCAGGTCTTCAGTCATTTCTCGTATCTTCCACTGCAGAGGATCCATACTGGTGAGAACCATTTCAATGTATAGAATGAAAAGCTTTTAGTCACTCGACACTGGTTATTACTCGACATCAGAAGACAGACTGGTGAGAGGCCTTATGAATGTAAGGAATGTGGGAAACCTCTAGGGTTACCTCACACCTCAACCAGCATCAAAGAATTCACACTGGTAAGGAACCCTCTCAATGAAAAGAATGTGGAAAGGCCTTCCAGCATCGTTCATATCTTCCTCAACATCAGAAAAACCCAGGCGAAAAAGCTTAGAACTGTACATTGTGGGAAGGACTTTGGGCAGTGTTCATAACTTGAGTGACATCAGAAAAACTCATTCTTTTCAAAAGAATAAATGAAAACAGCCTTAACCTATTTATTTATCTGTTTATTTATTTTAATCCTCACCTAAGGATATGGCTATTGATTTAGAGAGGAAGGGAGAGAGAGAGAAACATCAATGTGAGAGAGAAACATCGATTGGTTGCCTCCTATATGCAACCCAACCCGAGATCCAACCAGCTTGTAAGGTAGGTGTGTGCCCTGGCCAGGAATCAAACTCACGACCTTTTGGTGTACAAGACAACACTCCAACCAACTGAGCCGCCCAGCCAGGGCAGAAAATTCATTCTTTTTTTTTTTTTTTTATAGTATCACTTTACTTTTTGACATTTTATTTTATTTTTTTAAGATTTTATTTATCTTAAGAGGGGAAGGGAAGGAGAGAGGGAGAGAAACATCAATGTATGGTTGCCTTTCGTGCGTCCCCTGCTGGGAACTGGCCCACAGGGAACCTGCCTGCAACCCTGGCATGTGCCCTGACTGGGAATCGAACCACGATTGTCTGGTTCGCAGGCCCGCGCTCAATCCACTGAGCTACACCAGCCAGGGCAGAAAATTCATTCTTAATGTTTGTAAGAAATGTGAGAAGGTCTTCAGGCACTGTCATCTTCCTCAATGTGAAGGAGTTCATGCTACAGAAAACCCTCAAAAATAAGGGAAGGAAAGACTTCATTGGTCTCATCTGTCAAGGAACATCAAATACTTTATAATTATCAGTAACCTTTTCAAATGCAAAAATGCCTTTTATTCAATTCATGTTACACTCACCAACAAATGCATCATAGCATTCATCACCAACAACCATATTAATATAATGTAGAAAAACTCAACCCTGTAAACCATTAATTATTGGTATGCCAGCAAGAAACCATATAAGTGCAGAAGTTTTGGAAAGTCATCCTAATGTACAAAAAAGAATGTATAAGAAAAAATAATCCTGTGAATATCATGTATATGAGATGTAAGTTTAAAGAAATTTCATATTGATTTTTTAAAAGATTTATTTTTGAGAAAAAGGAAGGGAGGGAGAAAGAGAGAGAGGAACATGGATCAGTTGCCTCTGGTACTTGCCCCAACTTGGGACATATTCACAACCCAGTCACGTGCCCCTACCAGGGGCTATTCTTCACCTCGGGAAGCTGAAGTGGCTATCGAACTGGCTGTCCTTCACATTGGGGAACAATGCCCAACCAACTGAGCCACGCTGGTCAGGGCTCATATTAACTTTTTGAATTTAAGGAAAATTCATACTGAAGAATGTACCACGAGTAAAAGAAAAGCATGCAAGAATTGATGAGTCATTGTGCATCAGCAAATAGTGTATGAAACCCTTGATGTTTAAAACAACAGTTAAGCATTTAACTATCAAAGAATCTGAGGAAGGTGTAGAGAAGTCTGTACCTGAGTTTACCTGGTTAACTCAGGTAAAAATGTAATACATTAGATATTAACAGAGTATTTTTACATCATATGTCCTGCTCAGTGAAACGAGAACACTGTGATGCAAATGAGGTCAGCAGAGCCCAAACCCTGCCAGATGTGGCCTATGTCTGTACTCAAAAAAAGTGACCAGCTTAAATGCATTTATATTTATAGACCAGAAAACGGTAGCACTGGAAATAACGCGGGAACCAGAGACTGTCTGAGAAGCCAGAAACTGAACGTAACGTAGCAATGAACAGAATTCAAGAAAATAATGCGTGAACAGAAAAGTAGGTTTTATCAACCCGGAAGTCTTTTCTTCAAAAGGATAGTATAGACATTTAGTAAATTTCATTAAAATACTATAGAGAAGCAGTCCCCAACCTTTCTGGCACCAGGGACCGGTTTGGTGGAAGCTAGAAAAGGGAGACAGAGGACAGGAGGTGGGGAACAGGAGGTGGAGCTCAGGTGAGCCGGTCTCTAGGGGGGCTTCCTAATAGACCGGGGGTTAGGGGCCCCCAGCTGTGGAGTATGATTAAAAATGAGGAGGCTGTAATAGCACATATAAAGGGCATTTTAAAATGAGGTTAAACACTTGACACTTTTGTTGCCAATAAATTTCAAAGTTTAGTTGAATTTCACTTCCTAAAATGGAAAAACCAAATTTTCAGAATTGACTAAAGATTAGCAAAGGGCAGGTTTTATAGGGAATCCAACTGAGTTTTGTTTTTTTTTTTAATCAGTTAAGACTAAAGATTTACCAGGCTGTAAGGGTATACAAAATATTGATGATACAAATTTGCAAGTTTGGAAAGATGCAGATCTGATCAGCTCCTTTTGAGTCCTGTGTAATCTCAATACAGAAACCAA